GGAAATTTAAAAATAATAGATAAATATTACGCCAAGGAAAACTTGAAAATGAAATTAATTGATAAAATAAATTAGTAAATGAAAAAGGTAATAATATAAAAATTTAAAAAGAATGAGATATGAATAAATATAATAAAATATAAATGAATATAAACATTAATATTTTAGAAAAATATATCCGACATCTGCATTTTTTGGCTTTGGGGGGGGGCCGCTGCGTACGCCAATGCATGGATATTATTAATTCTAATTTTAGTCATTTATAAAGTCATAAGGTATATTAAGGCTATTTTAAAATACAATGTTTCGAAAAAAATATAACTCATCATGACTAAGATATATTGATGCATATAGAGGTAGATTAAGGGATCTTACAGGTCCTTATTAAAGGGAATTTCAAATTATATAATGAAGCCTATTATGAAATTTGATAGCTCATTATAATTATAAGAATCCAGTACTATAAAAAAAAAAAATAATAAATAGTATTAAGTATAAATAATTACAACACTTTGAAATTATATAATAATTATTAAATATTAATTATAATTAATTATAACTTAAATAAAATTTAACTAGATATTTCTCATAATAGGAAAATTACTAAATAATTTAAATATTAGTAGATTTTAACCTTTTATACTGATTACATAATATGTAATATGTACTATATTAATTTATAAAGTATTTATAAGAATACGAATAGAATAGAATAAAGTGTGTGATTGAGAAATTCCAATATAATTTTATAATTTATTTTAAAAATCAGAAAAAAACAAGTTATTATTATATGTGAAAAACAAGTTATTATTATATGAGAAAAACAAGTGATTTAAAATGAAAATATATATTAATTTATATATATTTTTTTTGTCTTGAGATATACAACTGAACTTTTAAATATAAATTATTTAAGTATTTAATAATATAATAGCGCACATGCGCACATGCAACATGCACCACCTCCAAAAAATATATGAAAAAAAAAATTATAAATCTTGAAAATACAACATGGTACAAAAAAATGGGGAAGGAAAGAACTTTTTTGGCATGCGAGAGGTAATTTAGATTTATTTTTTAAGAATAAAAAAAAATATATATGTATAAAGGGGAAATGACACCATAGTTGTACATGATAGTTTTTTATGTAATTACCCTTACAAAAGGTATAGATTACACTATCGATAGGTACAATTCACACTATAAGTGGCCAATAAACAATAAATATATTTGGAATAAAATTAATATAATGAAGAAAATTATTTAATCATATTGAAATAAAAAATGAAAGAAACTACAATTTATAGGGAATAAACTCTCGCTTGGCATGCGGGAGGTATTTTTATACTGTTAAATGCGTAATAAGGTTAAAATTTAATGTTACAATGATATCATTATTAAAATAATACCCCTTACATTAAGATTAACAAGGAATTATATAACAAATAATATATATATGGGGATAGTAGGAACTACAATTGGGAATAGGGAATTATTGTCATTATTTTATTTTATTTATTTTTTTTTGAAATATAATAAACAATTACAATTGGGAAGGGGAAATTATTGTCATTATTTCCTTTTTTTTTGAATATAATAAACAATTACAATTGGGAAGGGGAATTATTGTCATTATTTTATTTTATTTTGGAATATAATAAACAATTACAATTGGGAAGGGGAAATTATTGTCATTATTTCCTTTTTTTTTGGAATATAATAAACAATTACAATTGGGAAGGGAGAATTATTTTCAATATTAACAATGTTACTTATTAATCAAAATTATCACAACTAGGAAAGATAGAATATATATGATGCTTTAATATTTGTAACCCACAATATAAAAGTAAAAATATAATGCAATATATTCCTATTAATAATTTCTAATGTGATCAATATGAACAAAGAGAAACTTATCATCTACCTGAATTTCCCAAATGACGTTACTAATTCTCCCAATGACAATCCCCACACGCCATTCTTGATTGAAGCCCACTTTGACAAAAACAGAATTGCCAAATGTTAATTCTCTGAACTTTATTCTTTTAATTTTAGGTCGCATATCACAGTCACTGTCCTTCAAAAAACTCTTAAATCTATGTTCCCTGCCGAATAATCTAAACGCAGGTGAAGTTTTGGTTGTCGAATGAGTGGTATTGCAATAATTCAATAACACCTCTTCCAATAACCTATCATCCCAACCACCTAATTTATAAATCATATCCTTAGCTGAGCGTACCGCTCTTTCAGCCATACCATTTGAAGACGGATGGTATGCAGGAGTAAATATATGTGTTATACCCTTTTTTAATATAAAATTTTTAAAATCATACGACCTAAAAGCTGGTCCATTATCAGAAACCAACTCTACGGAGTAACCAAATCTAGAAAAAATATTATTTAATACCATAATCGTGGTATTAGTAGTAATATTTTTAACCTTGATAATCTCAAGCCATCGAGAGTACCCATCAATTATTACTAATCCATAATAATTCTTAATGGGTCCAAAAAAATCAATAAAAATACGATACCAGGGTTTGCTCGGATCTACCCAATGATTATTTCTAACCCTTGGTAATTTTGGAGCATTTACCATACACATATTAAACCTAAAAACCATTTCCTTGATGTCTCTTTTAACCCCAGGCCACCAAAAATATCTTTCCATAATATCAATCATCCTAGACAAACCTATATGTCCCTCATGAAGAACATATAGAATCTCTTTTCTTAGCGATTGGGGAATAACAATCTGCTCTCCCTTAAAAATGCAATCATTTTTAATGAACAACAACTTACCTAGCTCCATATATACTTTAATCTGTGTGAAATCTCCCGCTTTATTCAAAATAAATTGTTTAACTTTGATAAGTTCTAAATCTTCCACAGTCTCTCTTCTTATCATATCTAAATTATTCAAAATTCTCTGGTCATTTAAATCATTATCAATATTAAAAAAACAAATAACATCTTCCTTTATTAACCTAGATAACCCATCAGCAATAAATTGATCTTTACCCCTCCTATAATTAATGTCGAAATCAAACCCGGCTAAACAAAAAGCCCATTTCTGAAGCCATGGCGACATATTGTAAAGTTTAACCGGATCTATTCCAAACAAATTAATTAGAGGTTTATGATCCGTAAAAATTTTAAAATTCCTCCCTACTACATATTCCCTCCATTCCTTAACAGCCACAACAATCGACAATCCTTCTTTCTCAATAATCGAATATCTTTTCTCAGCACCCGTCCATGCTTTTAACATAAACTCAATCGGCCTTTCAAGACCATCCTCTTCAACATGAAATAAAACAGCACCCATACTTTTATTAGAAGCATCAGTAGAAATAAATAAATTTTTAGAAAAACCTTCTATGAACCTTGAATAATAATTGATCAGACCCAACCACGAATGCAATTCTTCCTTACTTATAGGTTCAGTCATGGTACTTATCGGATCAATCTTTTCTTTAATTGGCTGTATACCTTTGTCACTTATCAAATAACCTAAATACTTAATACTCTCTTTGCAAAATTAACTTTTTTTTATATTTCCAATCAAACCAAAATCCATCATTCTTTGAAATACCTTTTTCAATTTATTAAAATGATCTTCCTTATTCTTACCAAAAATTAATAAATCATCTAAATAATACATAACCCCGTTAGTCAGCAAAAATTTCATCCATGGTCTTTTGGAAATAAGCAGTCGACACTGTAAGTCCAAAAGGTAATCTATTAAATTGAAAAAGACCTTTATGGGTTGAAACGGTTAAAAATTTGGAAGTTTCTTTAGAAATAGGTATTTGCAAATAAGCCGAGGAAAAGTCTATTTTTGAAAATAATCTGCCTTTTCCGACCTTAGCAATAATGTCACTTATCCTTGGAAGCGGATATTCAAAACTGTGGATTAACAGTGACCCTAAAGTCAGCAAAAACTCTCAAAGCATTATCCTTCTTTTTAACCAAAACTAATGGTGTCGCCCATTGGGAAAATATAACAGGGGTTATTATGCCATGTTGACACCATTGTTCTAGAATGTTACCTAACTCTTCTTCTATTTCAAACGGTACTCTCCTGGCCTTCAAAAATCTTGGTTTAAAATCATCTTTTAACAAAATATTTTACTTGGAAACAGTTATAATTTTATTTTTTTAAAAAAATTTCGGAAGAAAAGGAAGCTTTTCAATAAATTTTTAAATATTTTTTTTACAATTCAAATAAATAAAAATTATTTCACTTTTCAATGATAATATTAAAAACTCTTATATCAATCAAAAAAAATATTCTTGTAGGCACTCTTTTTTTAATATTTTGCAATCTAATAATAAAGCCAACAAAAATTTTAGAAACATGCTGTGTCAATATTTTTTTTTTAAAAAAAATTTATTTTTTTCTTTCATCAAGGCAGGAGGAGCGGTATAAAACATAAAAGAAATATTATATTAATAAAATTGAAAAACATCTGGATAAAGGGTAAAAAAATAAATATCATGAAGATCTTTGAAGATCGTTACACAAAATTTTTAAAAAATAAAAGATAGATCTTTGAAGATCGTTGCTCAAATTTTTTTATAAATAAAAGATCTTCAAATTTTACGATCTTCAAAGATCTTGCTCAAATTTTTGAGCTAGATCACGCTCAAAAATCTTCAAAGAAGATCTTTTGTACAACTCTGTTAAAAACACAATCAAACCTTTTAACTAAATTATTACTATCATAATTAAAATCATAACAATTTTTTTTAATAAACATTGACGGAATAACCAAATTCCCTCTATCAAATCTGTCATTATTTTTACAAGGATTGTTAAAAGTTACAAAATTTACCCTATCTCTAACTCTTTAGTATTAAAATTAAAATTGAATCTAATCAAATTCTTTGATCCAATCTAGACCACATAAAGGTGGTCCCTCCCCTTCCAAAACATAAAATCTAAATATTTAATCGTATTTAGAAATTTGACCTTACAATTAATAACTTTACCAATGACTGTGATAGGCGACCCTTCATACGAGAATAATTTCTTCGAACAACTTTTCAACTCCACATCTTCATCCTTCGCAAGCTTTTCAAACTCTTTCATGGGCAAGGATGACACCGGAAATCAGTATCTATCATCTATCGAAATACTCTCTGGAAGACTCAAGTCTGTCCGGTTTTGTATTGAATAACTCCAAAATACGCGTGATCTTGTTCTTTTCGACTTTATTTTGTACTAAATCTTTCATTTGTTGATATGATAAATTATCAATGTTATCCATGATACTCAGCCATCTCTTTATCCAATGTTTCGAATAATTTATATTTTTTTGTAGCTTCATCTATAATATTCTCCGCAAGAAATTTCAGATCCAACGTCTTCAACAATACCTTGATCTTTACATCATTTCTATCCTCCATCATAAAGTATTTATAAGAATACGAATAGAATAGAATAAAGTGTGTGATTGAGGAATTCCTATATAATTTTATAATTTATTTTAAAAATCAGAAAAAAACAAGTTATTATTATATGAGAAAAACAAGTTATTATTATATGAGAAAAACAAGTGATTTAAAATGGATTAATTTATATATATTTTTTTGCCTTGAGATATACAACTGAACTTTATTTAAGTATTTAATATTATAATAGAGCACATGCGCACATGCAACAATTTATAAAAAAAAAATTTCAATAGCTAAACGGAAACCCTAACTAATTTAATATAACTATTTCGTATTTGGAAGAAATCTTCTTTTCTTCTCTCTTTTCTTCTCTCTTTTCTTCTCTCTTTTCTTCTTATCTTCTCTCTTATATACTCATAACTATACTAATACTATAATCGGATAGGGCGTAGTTCCACTCTTTAATGATAAAACTACTGAGTTACAAGGTTTGTTAGTATCCTTGAGAAAAAAATCATCAGAATAAATATATGGAGGGGCCTCCATGTAATTCAAGTTAGCTCACTTTGGGCAGGTCCATGACTAACGTGCTTGATATGATATTTCAATTTTTTTGATTTGAATATATCCAATCACATTTTATTTAGTAAATAACCATACAAATATTAAAAATTTGCGAAAGCGCATAATTTAAAAATTATTTTATAAGGTTGGCTATGCATGTGGGATATGATAATGACCATTTATATAGAAATTTACGAGGCAAATTGGATAAAATGGGTTTCATTCAGCCATTTGGATTGGAATCAATTACTTTGATTAATTCATTAGTAAATGAATTATTTTATTGCCAAGAAAAGATTACTTATAAAGAGGATTCTAATGAAGTATATTTATATAAAAATTTATTTAGTTTTTTTTTTAGTTTAAACCATCATCAAAATTTATCAGTCTTAAAACACACATGGCATCTTTACTTAAAAAGATATGTGAGTTGCATGAAACAAACTTGATATTAAAACAAGGACATGAAAAGGAAATCACTGGTATCTTATATAAACCTAAAATAATATAAGCCTAATGTTAGAATATAAGATAAAAACTTCCCATTTAGAACAAGAAAATGCTAATTTTAGATTCAGAGAAGCAGAATTCATTAAAAATATAAAGCATATTGAATTAGATAATAAAGAAAAATCAAAGTTGTTATTAAAATTGGAAGAAAATAATTTAAAAGCTGTGATTCAAACACCAGGTTTTTATTTTTTCATAAAATATGTTTTACAAATAAATAAAAATGCAGAAATTAATATAGCTTTGTTTTAAATCCCAATAACTAAATTTTAACAATCATAAATTTACATTTTGCTACAATAAATAATTTCAAATCTTATACCAGAAATCAATTTTGACAACTTTTATCAGCAGAATTCATTAAACACTTAATTTTTTTAAAAAAAGTAGATTTATAATATTTAGCAACTTTTGCAATTCATGCAAAATATAACTTAATTTAGTTCAATTTTTTAATTTTAACATAATTATTTTTCTCTAGTTTTATGTGAGTAAATCATAAAACTAATAATTTTTAGGCTTTACTGATATTTTTTGGAAGGTGTTGATATCTAATAAGTTCATCCCCAAATCTATCAAAAATTTCTATCATTATCATCACTAGGCATAGATGGGATTTTTAGCAATTTTCCTGGTAAAATTATCTCATATTTTTTTTATAAGTCATAAAATATCACTTGGAATTAATATTAAAAAAGTAAGTAAAATAAATTACAAAATTGTGCATTAAGCTGGGTTTAATTGATATTTAATCTCATTAAAACTACGGGCAGAACTTTGCACCACTAACATTTTTGTGCCCCTTAGAATTTATCACCAATTATTTAAATCATGCAGGTAGAATTAATTGGCTGGATTTAAGCCGATCATTTTAAAAATAGCTAAATTCGAGCTATTTAACAATACCAAATGCAGGCATACATGCTCTGTATAAAAATTTTTTGAATTTTTTCAACCATTTGAATATTAAATTTATAAATAATAATAAAATTTAAAATATATAATATTAAAAAGCTAATAATTATATATATTTTTATTCTAACACATCCTCATCCATGGTTACAATTTTTTTTTACTTAAAGATAATATGTTTAAAAAATCTAGCTTTAATATTTTCTGTTTATACAGGAAGTATTTTAATCGAATTTAGAAAATAAATTATTTTTAACAATCTTATGAAAATATATGACAAAAAATTATACATTGACTGTATTTATTATAAACCATCTTAAATCTAAATTACTAAGAATGATGACACATTAGTAAATATGGATAATGAAAGCTAGGCAAATTAAATACAAGTTATCTATCAAAGTTATCAAGTAATTATTCAATGATAAACAAATTATGATTCACTATAAATATATTGTAATAATCATATATTTATCAAAAAACAATCACCCACAGGATAGATATTTTATATTTTGGGGAAGGAAATAGAATCATATTCTGCCTCTCTACATTAAGTGTAGAATGTGCCCTACAATATTTCAACCTCAATGTCCAATGACATAAAATTAAATGTATAAATTCAGATTAAATTCTAATAAAGATTTTAGAAAAATGATAAGGATCTGAATAAAGATTCGTGTGAAGATGATATAAGTTTTTTGAAGATAAAGATAATTCTTTAAATTTTTTTTATAAAATCCCTCAATTAAAATGTTTATTTATTATATATAAAACTATCCTCTCATCCTCTACACCAATTAATTTTCTTTTCAAATTCTTTATGACCAATAATTAAATAAATTTAATCACATAAAATTTTTATGTTTAAAAGGTGGTAATAAAGCTCCCATCCCTTTCAAGCATGAAAAAATGATAATTGATTCATTCTTACCACCTAGTGCCAATGTAAAATCATCCTTGCCCCAAAATAATATCACCAACTCATCCGAGGAGGGTAGTAAAGATAGCATAACAGAAACATCTTCATTCACTAATGCAGGTGAGGACAAGCGAAAACATTCAATAGATGTTTTTAAGGTTTTGAATTTTTAAACTTGAATATTGTTCATTAAACCTACCTAATACAAAACTTTCAAAAGTTGATTACCCACTCTTATGGTTTAAAGGAGGGTACTTAAATTAAATCAAAGAAACCATTAATGTATTAAAATCACAGACTGCAAGCTTGTAACCCAGCTTAGATTCTGTCTTAAATGGCTAAATTTTAAAAATCCAAGCCAGGCCAAATTCACAAAACCTGGACTGAGCTGGGTTGATTTAAATTTTTAAAAATTAATAATCGGTTAGATAACATTCATTTACTGGTTATATTTTAATTTTACCTTTGAAACAATTTACAAGAGAGTCAAAACTATTAATAATAACGAGATTTTAAAATTATGGGCTTGGATGGACTGCATGATGATCAAAATTAAAAAATCTGAGCTAAACTTATAATCAAAAATATGCGAATCAGGCCCAAAAAATTAACAAATTTTTTATTATTGCTTCCAACACATAATATTGAAACGGAACAAGATATTCAAGGATATATAATTGACATACTCATATCTCATTTTAATATATAAAAATGGGATTAGATAGTTGAAAATCAGATTAATACGCTGAACAAGAGGCTGAATGAATCGGAACTCAAAAGAAATACATGCCAACAAGAGTTAATGGATACCAAGGAAAAGGTAATGATATAAATTTTAATACAGGGTTTTCCATTCAAAAAATAAAAGCCAATCAAAAATGGAAAAGGGTCATTAAAAAAAGAAAAAGGTCCGATTAAAAAGGAAAAAGGATACTGAAAAAAGGAATCGTTTTTTAAAAAAATATTATTTCTATGATGTCATTTTAATGATCCTGAAATTTAATATCCTTCATTAATTTTTGGTTATTTTTAATTTAATGGGTCCACTTTTTGGGAAAACCTTTTGATACTTCTCAATTAATTTTTCGATCCATTTCATAATTATGTTATATTTTTAGGTAATAATTTATTACCAATTAAGATATAATAAAATTATAATTTTTTTTATTAAATACCTTTATTTTATTAATGTTTTGAAATATTGATTATCACACGAAATTTGTGATAAAATTTAAGGTAATATATAAATTTTAAAAATAGCTTATGGATAACTGGGTTATTTCATGTCAAATCAATCACGATTCGGTCGACCCCTTTAAACATATTTTATAAACTAAGAGCTAGGAGGGTAAAATTTTGATCAGTTATAAGTAACACTAACCTTAATTTGTAGACTAAATTTTAATAAAAATCGAAAGGGATAGTCCAAAAATCATTTTTTTTCATCAATTTGACGTGGTATCCCACTCTTGCATAATATTTAAAAATTAATAAATATCAGAGATCTGCAGGTCCAGCCCCCGGGCCGTATTTAATTTTTTAAAATATACCAGGGCCAGGCCTGGCCTAAAAAAAAATAAAAACCAAATATTTTAAATCGTATTAGCTATAAAAATTAAAAATAAATATAATATACTTTAAAAAAATCCGGGCCAGTCTTGCAAATGGTACCTCTGCAGGTCTCTGAATTATAAACTAAAAAAATTGAAATTATATATTTTAAAAATTGATATTTCTGGCTATTATATCGATAAATTCTCTTCATTATTATCGTTTATTCAGATAAATTATAATTACAACTATAGTCGGGCCTTAGGATTAGCTATAACTGAAGATGGGGAATGGTTGTTATAATCACTATCTACTCATAGTGTATTAAAGATAACTACTATTATTTTTAATAAACGATTATGATGAATATAGCCATAAACTATCTAAATGACTATGACTAATAGCCATAGTCAATTTTAAATAGCTCTGGCTAATAATTTTTTAATTGTGAGATATCCCTAAGTAATGAATATAAATAAACAAAACAAAAGAAAAAATCCTAGAAATTTATTTTTATTTTACAATATACATATAATAGTCTTACAAGTATGTACATCTTGATCACAAACGTGTAGAGGGTTCCTCATATTTTCATTCCCCAAATTTTCTTTAATATTCACTTCTATGGAAATGAGGAATACCTAGCTTAGCTCTTTTGTGTGGCGTAGCCAGGATTTTTAATGGAGGGTATTAAAAATTTTTTGGTGGTAAAGCCCCCATACCTTTTTTTTGATTGCCTTCGGCGGTCCCTTTTATAAAAAGTTATTAAATATTAATAATTTTTCGGTAGTCTTTATTTTATCTCCGTTGAAGTTAGCTGAACAAAACCTAATTTTAAAATATAACAATGTTTTGTGCTGTATTATTGTCTGATTTTAACCAGCATAGTAGCCAGTATAAAGGAAAAAAATTATTAGTAATAAGATTTTGGCCGATCTTAAGATTAAAAAGTGACTGTAAATTTTATCAATGAAGTGTATATTAATTTAATCCGTTTGGTAGACAGTATAAAGAATTAGAAAATTGCTAAAATAGATATCCCGCAAAATGAATAATATAAAAAACTATCTGGCATGCCTTAATATTTAATGCCTGACTTACTTTCAATTCCTCACCAAATATGAGAACCCCCCAAAAAACTGTTATTGACAAAGTGAAAACTATTACATAACGCTCTAAGTGTGAAGTGAGCCAAGCTTTTGGAAACACTAATTTTGAAACTTATACTAAATTATTGAGTTTAGCTTTCTTAGGATATTTTATTGCTTTATTCTCTTTGGCAATTGGTTTAAAGAGGAAAAGAATTTTTGGTGAAAAATAAAAAATTGTCAATATTTGCATCATGTCAGAACGGGGAATATATAAATTTTAACTATCTGGTTTGCGTTAATATTTAGTGATTTATTAGTTCTTTACTGCCATTAAAAAAGTGACCGAATTATGAACCAAAAACTAAATATTATATCACTTTTAAGCATAATGTTAGCTAAACATCTGGAAGCATTATCTCGGAAATTTATGTCAATAATTAGTGCCTTTTTCTTACATCTTTAATGCTTCAACCCGTTTGGCAGATAGTTTAAAGAAAAACATTTTTGGCAAAATAATAAAAAATCGCGAAAATTATAGAAGCAATGAATAATATGTAATGCATGATTAGTACTTATTAGTTCACCGATCAGTTTTTTTCAGCCAATAAATAAAAACTAGTTATAAGCGAAATAAAATTTCGGCAAATCTTAGGCGAAATCTTAAATATCGAATTTTAAATTATCAAAAATAAATTTGGTTTAAATACATTAAGGTTTATCTTTCCCCGATTCAAAATATTTTTGAATTTTATGATTTTCAGTTTGTTTAATAAATATAGAAGTAATTTAAATCTCATTGATCAAGATAGACGAAGATTCTAGACAATTAAAATAATAACCAAATATCTAAAATTAGTTTTACTATTATTATCGTTATAAAAACTCCTATCAACTTTTAAAATATTTGATGTGATTGTAGTTTAGATACTTTTATATTTGATTTATCCATATTTCGACAAATGTTAAGCACAGATATGCCACAAGTCTATTTGACTACCTTTTTGTGCTGCTCATTATTTCTTCATAATGAAATTGACAAAGTAGATTTTTTTTAAAGGGAATATGACAAACTAGACAAGTTTTTCTGCAAGATAATTTAAAATTTATTAAAAAAATATATAATAATCAAATATGATAGATATTTCATTTTTTCATGGGGGGGGTGTTTAGATCCTTATACCCCCCCCCCATGTCTACGCCACTGTTGCATCCACTAATGTTGTTAAACGGCTCGATTTTAGCCGATTTTATAACTCGAGATTTCGTGAATAGATGGCAAAAATATTGAGTTAAACGTTTTTAAAAATCGGTTTAAATCGAGCTGTTTAATAACAATAGTACCCATAAAAATAAAGAGCATTTACGATTAAATCACGTATCACGTAAATGGCCTTCTGATTTTGGAAATATAACTAAAAAACTATTTGCCAGAGCTCTTTAAAATTGATTATGGCTATTAGTCTTAGTTATTAAATCTGGCTATGGCTTTTAGGCATACTTTTTTTATGATTACAGGCATATATATCTACTATTTTTGTCGGTTAAAATAATTGTTTAAACTTAACCGATTCTTCCCCTATATCTATAACTAGGTTACACTTATATTGTTTAATATATTGATTAATATTACCAATCGTGTTTAATCGACGATTTTGTTTTATGACAGTTGCGCGCAAAGGATGAGTTGATTGAGAGAATGATAGGTCCATGCTCCAATTTGGCGCCCGTCACTGTAGCGAATCAGAATGCTAATGAAGTTGATCTGAATACTAGTATGGACACATCGAGCCTGATAGACGATATACGGATACCGAAGGCCAATCGTGACGCCGCCTTTACGGATGCCTTTCTTCGCAACCTCGTAAAAAATGTCGGTCACCTCAGGCTCAAGTATGACGACTTAAAGCGATATCTCGAAACACTCGAGACTGGAAAAACTGTCGACAGCATTCGATATCTCGAAAAAGGTTGGTCATCAAAATTAAATTTCTTAAAAAAATAATATATTATTTATCGTTTTAGTTTTACCATATCAAATGAAAAAAAGAATCCCCCACCCATTCCGATATAAATTAATATACATATTTTTTGGGAAGGGCTTAGTATAGGGATTAAATGGGATGTAATAATTATCTCACTTATATAATTGCTTCTGTAAGTTTTTATATAATCTGAAATAAGTTATGGCGGAAAAGGAAATAGGACAATATGATCATCTATTTTAAAAAAGTTTTATGGAACGATAATTCAATAGTGATTGTTCATCAACATGCATAACCCTTATAGCACCTCTAAGCAATATTTTCAGATTCTCTTATAATCTTCCTCAAATTTTTTATACAAACTTATCTATTAAATTTTTATAATTTTCATAGATTAGGATTGATTGCTTTGGTCAGTATATTTGATAGAAATATGAGATAAAAAAAAATAGGGTGACAAAGTATCCTTCTATTCTTCAAAATTAAACTCCGATTAAGCAAAATCTTTTTTATTTTACATTAAAATCAGTAGGGAAGACGGGGGTTATATTGTCTATAAAAGATTGAGAGGCTGTGAAAAAGTGAAGTAACTTATCAAATTAATTTAAACGTTGTTTTATTCTTTATATATTTATCTATGGTAGAAATTAATAAGAAAAAAATATTATAAAAATTTTTGAGTTATGAAAAAGACATGGGAGACGTATTATCCATTTGTGGGGCATGTTTTAGCCTATCATTTTCTATGCATTTTATTCATACAAAAAACACAAAAATTATAATATTAATATACAATTATGATTCATTACATATTTAATCACATTTATTACAAATAAAAGAGAAATTAAAATCGCTACAAGATCCATATACCCATAAATGACCTCGACATTGGAACCAATCTTCATTCTGATGGTGTACTGATAACTTTTGCCGCATACTAAGCAACATTCTTTTTTTTCTAGCGATATTCATATTTAAGCATTTTTTTTGCTCTTCTATTTTTGGCTTGTATGGTGTTTTTCCTGATTAGTGGCCTTAGCTCTGGCCATTTTTTTTATATGGAGATGATGTTAAAATGGATGTTGTCATTTGATTACTAGTGGTTTTTTTAAAATATTATGTGGGGAATAATATTCTCTTAAGTAAAATCGATTCCCATCTGAGAAGATTCTTTGAAAGATGGTTGCGAAGTAATTTCAGATAAATTTAGTTGAATCTCATTAGGATCTTTATTGTTAATAAAATATAATGGATTCGAATTTTTGTCATTAAAAATCAAAGGATTTACCAAATACTCGAGGATTCAAAACCCTTCTGAATATTTGAAGCCGAGGTGGCTTTATCTTCTTTACCACTTCAGGGATATTATAAGTTGTAAAACTTTTCTCTGGGTGCATTCCCATCCATGCATCCAAAGCACTATTGTAATATTTTTTAAGAAGTCCAAAAACGGTTCTATCAAATGGTTGGAGTTAATGGGTGCAATGGGGAGGGAGAAAACAATGCCACTGTCAGAGGATAGCTCAATGACTTCAATACATTGATGAGATGTATGATCTAGAAAAAGTAAAACTTTTTTTTTCAAGACTGGAATTAGCATATTTTAAAAAATGTTTAAAATCTTCAGCCAACATCTACCCACTGGACGCGCCAATGCATCCTATTGGGCCATCTCTTAAATAATGATCATAGAATTTTTTCTGGGATATATAAACATAAATGGAATAGAATTTCCTAAGGCATTAACAGCAATTGTCAAGGTCATGATTGTATCACGTTCTGATGTAATAATTTCCCCTGTTTCTCGCCTTTCCTTTCTATAACTTTATTAGGCCGTCGAACTGTTGTTAATTCTATGAAAATATTAAAGATTCAGTTTCATCCATATTATATATATCACCTGGTAGAAAGTTATTTTCCATTAAAACAGACAAATAATTATTAAAAAAGAACTCAACAATTTCTTGGTGTTCTCAAAGATATGGTTGGATTTCTTTTAATCAAACCAGTCTTCATTAGCTGATTGAGTTATTTCCCAAGATTTTGGTACTTCAAAACTATGCATCTTAGCCATATGATATGCTAAAATTCTAACCTATATTTAAACATAAGATATTAAATTATTTATATATTAAATCTCATTAAAATCCTAATTCTTAAATTTTATTCTGAATTTATTTTAGAATTATAGAATTAATATATACAATCTTAAATCAATGTATAAATTATTTTAAAATCTATTATAATAATCCTCAAAAAACGTCAATCAAATTTAACCATAGTGTTCTTTTAAAAAATATTTGTCCAATGATAATCATCATAGCAATTTTAAGCCAATAGTAATTCCCACGTGATTTGTAATATGGCGAATTTCTTCAAATGCAACCCATAATTTAAAAATATAGATGTGATGATGGCACTTTCAGAAATAATAGTTTATATCAAAGTAAATTTTTAATATTAATAAATAATTTTAAATTATTTTAGAGTTAGAAAATCAAACATTTTAGATTGAACAATAATATTTTGAGAAACATGGATTTCCAAACTGCCTTGGCTCATTTGATGGTAAGCACATAAAAATTAATAGTCCTGTAAAATTAGATCTTTTAAATCAATTGCACTTGGTTTAGCTGATAGCAATTTTATACAACTATATATCTTTTAATTAGGTAATTTTTATGCATAAGGAAATATTTGCATCTCTCTTATCTTATCTGAAAATTTGGCCTTTCTACATGCATTCCATAGTGTATATTTTCTCATAACTTCATAATTGTAGAATGTAGGTTATTCATAACTTATAACATTTTTGATTAATTAGAATATCTTTTTATTTTTTCTATTGTAATTTAATATTAATGTCTTAAATTTAATTTTATAATTTGTAACTAAGTAATAAATTATTTGGAAAGGTGGTGGTTTTTTAAAATTAAAATTAGGATGAACTCGGCATGGTACTTTAATATGTATTCATGAATTTCATATAGCTAACCAGAAGAATGATAGGTAAATAAGATATTTCCTCTTCATTTGATGATAATTTTGAAAAATTTTCCCAATGATATAAAATAGCAAAAAAATATATACATATTAGACAGATTTAATTCTTATAAACCCCTTACTATTTTTCTGGATCCATGGAAGAAAAAATAAATTATTCTAGGTTTTCCTAGGCTTGGGAAATATTTTTCACAATTAATATGGACTTGGATGTAGCTTGGGAAACATTTTTCAAAATTAATATAGTCTTAGATTCCTGAAAATTTTTTAATTTTAATTTCTTTTGAAGACATGGCCAGGCCTGATCTAAAACCAAGGCCCATGCAACTTTCATATTCTGATTGTATTTTTAAATGCATTGTGACTTTTTATATATTTTATTTCAGTTCTCAACCACCAAAATTATTATGGTCTTTGGGCGGGTTTGAGAAAATTTTCCCAAGTGCGTGGACCTGGCTTGGGAATTTTTTTAATATTAGGCATAGGTGTAATATTTAACACAGAATATTTATATGGCCCTCAGGTAAAAGCTAATTTAAATATATTTTTATTCAAAAAAATAGTATTCACTCTTAGTCTAAATGGGTTGGCCTTGGTCTGAAGTAGGGGTGAGCTGGGTTAAAATAGAATAAAATATAGATATGGTTTTTAGAGATTTACCTATCTCCAGGTTTGGGAAAAAATTTTGAAAATTACTATAGGTTGGCCAGGCTTGAGAAAAACTTTAATAAAATTATTTGAGTTGGGCTGGGCTTGAAAAATATTTTTATAAATTATATTGGGCTGAGTTTAGGGAAAAATTTTCAAAATTATTATGAGCTTGGACGCTTGATATTTTTTTTATTATTAACTATGGGTCAGACATTACCCTAAAACAAGTTATTTTGCAGGCCTGTGCTCGGCCTGATCAAAAAACCAAGGCCCATTAAAATCTCATTTTTATTGTATTTTTATATTCATTATGATTATTTAAATATTTTATTTCAGTTCTCAACTACCAAAATTATTATGATCTTTCATTGGGCTTGGAAGAATTTTTCAAAATTATTATGGCCTTGTACTTTGCATGGGAATTTTTTTTAATTAAATATTAGGTATAAGTGATCAGTATTATTTAACAAATAATATTGGTAATATCAAATAAAAGCTTTAAATTTATTTTTACTCAAACCATAATATTTACACTAAGTTTTAATGTATTGAACCTGGCCTGAAGGAGGGAGGGGGTAAAAAGAATAAAAATTGGATATTTTTTTCAAATAACAGGTAACAACTAGCATTTGTGTTGTCAAATACCTAACTTTGATAATCTCTATTGTGGCTTAGTCAAGCTTTTAGTCTAAATAATTGAATTAAGCCTCTAAGTTGGGTCTCAACTTGAAGATTTTATTGGAATATTTTTATGGCTACGCTGTTTTATAGTTGACTAAAGTTAGGTAGTTTAACAACACTAACTAGCATAAAAGTAAGAAGAAAATTCTCATTCTCCGTTATTTTTGACGGGCTATTTACTAGTTAATATATATACATGACAGCATCATTTTAAAATTACTATACATACATGGCCACATCATTTTATTAAAATATATATTATACCACATAATTACATATCATTCTAATGCTTAAGTTAAGTTCTTACTTTAAAGTGCTTTAATATTAATAAAAATGTTTCCTTAACATTATAATGTATTTAATAATTAAAATTTTTTTTTATTAATTTGTTCTCAAGTTTATTATTTAACTAAAGAAATACCATGGCACAATTTTAAAGATAATAACAAAATTTTACAAAGAATTAAAATACTTGTTTAGGGCATATTCCTGAGAATAGTCTTTCCCTTAATTAGATATGTTAATTTAGCTTCTTGAATAGGAGTAAATACTGATCTTTGAATATATCTAGGGCTGTGCTGATCCACATATTTTTCACCGATCCGAGCCGATATTTTTCGATATTGCTTCAAAACCGATCCGATATTTATACTTATTTTTAATCACCCCCGTTCAAATGTGATTATGAAATCAATATTTTTTATGCAAAAAATCGAATTATGAATTTAATTTAATTTTTTTATTTTTACAATTAAGACTATAATAAAAAAATATATATTTAATAATATATCCATTTTATGTTGGCATGAATTATAAAATTGTAATATTTAATATATAAAATTATAATATTTAGATTTTTTAAAATAAATATGAGGGCCTCCAGATTTTCTGGGAATAAGCTTCTACGATATGGACTATCTATATCTCTTGCCGTAGGCAGGCTCAGATGATTCCGCAGATAAAGCATTTTGCAAAATTATCTTTGTCTTTTGTAAAATATTTCCATAATTCAGATACCATATTTAAATAAAATTCTTTTATTTAAAGTATAAATAAAATTCTTTTATTTAAAGTATAAATAAAAAAATTGGCGTTATTTAAAAAGATTTAAAATATAAAACTTTGGGTGTTCCTTTCTATTTTTATAAAAAAAAACTTTTAAAATACTATAAATCTATTTTAAAAAAGAAATAAAATTTAAAAAAATTATTTAGAAAATATTATAATAATGTAAAATAAATATACATAACATAAAATAACAAAAAAAAGAAAAGTAAAAAGATCGGATTGGTTTTTACAGGTATCGGCCCGATTCGATATTTTTGGAAAACATTAAATATCGGTACCGATCCGATATTTAATATCGGCACAGCCCTAAATATATCTCTTGAAAATCTTCATTCCTTTTGAAAAATTTATGTTACTCTTAATGCTTAGTTTCTTAAATATATTAATTTAAATATATTGATATATCTCCCATAACTTAAATTCGTATTAAAGGCTATAGTTGTCAAAGTAATCTTATCTTTCATTTGAAGGATGATTTCCTTTTGATTATCATTATTTTCTTTGTTTTTCTTATATATGTTCGAACCATTTTGCAAATCACAACCGGTAATTTAATGAATGTGAATAAGATAAGATGCACCCCTAATACCTTCCCCAAGGCCTCCATTTAAAAATTAAATTAACATGATTGTCAATATTTTAATATATAATAAAATGGAGATTTTTTTATATTTAGAATTAATATTAAGTCTGACAACTTTCATAAAAAAAGTTATTAGTGAAAATGTAAAATTTCAAAAAGTTACTTTAGGTATGTTGAAATTAAATTTGCACTTAAAACTTTTCATGAGCAATTTCATTTTTAGACCTATTTAAGCACCTTATTAAAATACATATTTGGCTTAAATTTTAAATCTCAAAGCTTATTAATTTTTAAATTATTTGAGAAGGAAATACCTACCCCGGGAACACACTATCCCCGGTTTCCTATTAACTACAGATCTGGCGCCCTACCCAAAAATTACACAAAAAATAGAGATAAGCAATTTGTAAATTATAAAATAGATGAATCTTTATTGAAATTTGCTTCCCTTTTCAATTGGAAAGCTATTCAACACCATTTAAAATTATAACAATAGTTCTGGTTACGCATCCAGTTACTCAAAGACGGAAACTCCCAGGGATATCGAATTTACAGATTTTCGATTTTTTTTAAACGATTTTGATTATTTTATTTAGTTATTGAACAAGGACGATTAAAAATATTCCTGATATTATTATTTTTTGATGATTATGAACTTTATTAAAAATTTTATATTTAATATATTTATAATTAAAGAATAAAAATAAATTTATAATGTTAAAACTAGCTTTTATTTTAATGAGAAGTAGATACTCAAAAAATTGGAGTATTTGGAGAGATAATTTCTCCGATATACATTATAGGAAGTTAATTAATATATTACTTATTTTCCACGAACTTATCGTCTCTCTTTACATCTAGAAAGTGTTTATGCCAATTTCTTAGAACTAAGGATAAAATTTAATGAATTATATTTTAGTTGACCAAAATGTAAATTTTTGATAAAAATAATATTTTTATATGAACCAAATTAAACTTATGCACTTACAGAATACTCGGATCCAATTTTTTATAAATCAGGACTCGGCAGGCTTAATAATCATAAATTTTCCGGACAAGTCCGGATGACTACAAGTCAAATACGAGGCTCTAAACCAAATATCATCAAGAGTGGATTTATCTGAATCACATTTAAATCATTCTCAAAATAGTTCAGCAAAACATCCCATCTGAGCCATTCCACTGTCATGGTTTTTGTATCAAACATCAAAATATATATCCCATACCATAACATTTTTTTTATCATGAAATACAGAGAATGAAACCATGGCTTTGATCCAAGAACTTGAGAGCATAGGGGAAAAAACTAGGAATATGCGTTTAGGGTTGGCACCTAAGGGCACGGAATTGCCTGACGATGATGAAACAAACATGGGAGGTTTTTCTTATTACATATTTTCATAATTAATAAAAATAGATTGAGACTATATTGATTTTTAATAATATTTTAAGCGCAAGAAAGTCGAGAGGACGAAGTTGCACCTAAGGATAGTGATGATTCGTCCAAGAGTGGGAAAGATAACAAAAATGGTTTTCATCTTTATAATGTTAATATTTTTTTTAATTTTTGAATTATAAATATAAATATGAAAGACAAAATTAAATATTGTTTGTAGTTCATTACCGATTTCTCGACTCTAGCTATCTAGTTTAAATATTATATTTGAGATAACAAGCCATATACAAAATGATCTTGAGCTAAAATAATAAAATAGAAATTATGGCATATCGTTAATTTGCATATTACCAGTGAAATACAAACGATAGATTATTTTCTGTTTCTGTATTTATAAAACCAAAAATAGATAATTAAAAGTATACATATATCTATTATTTCTCTTCAGTTACCACAAATATATTGTGCATAAAAGTTGAAGTTTCATTAAATTTTTCATACTTATAGCCGGAATTTTAATCTATCGTTCAAGTTTAAAATGATCTTTCGTTGAGAGTTTAAATCAATCTTAGATTATAAAAAATAATAATTACCTATCGTGGATATGATTTTGTTGCGCAAAAATTTGCAAAGGTTATTCTTTAAGACCATATTAAAACGTATTCTATAAAGAGTTGCCGAAATATAAATAAGTAAAAAATATAAAAAAATAATTTCGTTATTAAATGAATGTGTATTTATGATATAAGGCTCTCTCAACATTTCCTCTTCTAAAAAGATGTTCCCATTCGCGTTCCTTTCTACTTAATTGTCGTCGCAGTTGTTTATATCGATTTGAATTTTTGCGAATTATTGAATTGATTCTTTATTGAGTTTATGTCACTGGTTTTCAACATTTATGGCAAGCCTGATTGTTGGCTTTGTCCTGTTGATATATTCCTCCAGACCTCATATCATCTTTATTATTTGATGAATTCCAAATTCTGCCGATATTATTTGCCTATATTAAGTAAATATTCGATTACAATCCTTCATCAAGGAAGAAAATTGGCTGATATAATAACCTAATGGAAAGTTAAAATATTATGATATGGATACTCAAGTTTTCATTGTACTTTGAATCTTTTCCAAATGATATTACAAATTTTTGTATATTCCCGGGAATTTTGATATACATTCCCGGCTCTTTCATTAGTAATTGGATAGAAATTTCATTTGTTTTAGAATGGTAAGTTATGTTTTATATTATATCCTTGCAAAATTTATAGAGTTCATGTCATTTTAATGCAAGCATTAACAACTGATTTTGCGACACGTATTTAAATTTAACTGATCATTAATTTTGCTTATTATTTGTGATAGAGTTTAGTAAAAAATATGTATTAATTTAAATGATTAATAAAAATAATGTTTTCCGCTATACTGGTGTAAATATAATTAACTTTCGCTATGGTTAATTAAATTTTTTGTCCTTTTGAGAGTTAGATATGACGGTTTTACTGGAAGGTTAAGTTAAAAGGTATTCTTATCAGGGATGTGAACTCGGTAAAAATATTAACCAGGTTTGGTTCGGGTTTGATGTAAGATAAAAAAAATTAGGTTGGTTAGGGTTCAGTTTAGGGGAATATTGACCCCGGGTTTGTTCCGGGTTCAGCTCGGGTTTAGGAATATTTTAATTGTATTAAAAAAAATCGATATTTAAATCATATTAAAAAACTACACATTAATTTGGTAAAAATATAAAATTTTTATTTTATTTATAGGCAAAATATATTTTAAAAATACAAAGCATAGTCATGGATCAATTTATTATTTGATTTTGATATATCAAATAAAAATTAATTACTTATCAAAGCATTGTTTATATAATATTCTAATTTATAAGAATTAGGTATAATAATTTACTACATTTTCCAATAATTAATATAATTAAAAATTAATGACATAAATGGAATTGTTTAAAATTTATTAATACTTCACTTAATCGAATCTCAGTATAATTTAAAATATAAAATAAATGGCTTAAATGTATTGAAATTAAAATTTATTAACACTCATAATCGGAAATTCAAAAATATTATATAATCTCATTTAAATTGCGAATATTTTTATTTACAATATGCAAATATCTTAGCATATGATTTAAAATAATATTCATTGAACCTAATTGAACTCGGGTTCAAAAAATTTATGGGTTTGGTTTGGGTTTTTAGAAATTTTATAAAAGGGGTTTGGTTCGGGTTCAGAATTTTTTCCCCAAAACCCATGTTTTTTCTTTAATTCGGGCTCGGTTCGAATCCCTAATTCTTATACATTTGTCTTTAAAAATATGTTCTCATATTGTAAAACATTTTATAAAAATTTTTTTACAACTTACGCGATAAGATGATTGATGATTAAAAATTGCGGTGAAATATTGGCTTATTAAGGATTTTTTATTAATTTTTTGAAATTAATATTTGTAGGTATTTCAAATCGAGAGTAAAGTTTAAGGAAATCCCTATATTAGAATATAATATAATCATACATGAATACTATGCTATAATTGTATAAAATTTATTCAAATTTAGATACGGATTTGATATTGAAGGAAAAGGAGAAAGAAATAGAAAATGTCACCAAGCTTTACAAGAGGAACTTGGAGAGCAAAACAAATCTATCCTTTCGAATCAATCAACTTTTAAAACACGGTTTAATGTTTTTTAAAAAATAATATTAACTTAGTTTTAGTAAATTATTTCTATTTAGATTTTCTAATTTACTGTAATTCCAAAATTTATTCTTGGCAGAAAAAGATTTGTTACAGGAAATCGAAAAATTGCACCACAAAACATTCCTCAGGACACCGGGGTATTGCAGTACCAAGAGGCAAACTTTAAAAAATAAAGTAGATACTTTAATTTCCGATCTAGAGAAGGACAGAAATTTTTACAAAGACGAATACTTGGTATAATTATCAATTTCAGGAGATATAACTAATTAATTTATAATATATTTCTCGTCACTCTCTTATCTTCATATTTCTGCCATATCTTTAAATCAAATAAATATTTATTCAAATTGAAATTTCTAAATAATCGGAAATGTTATTTAACTTTTAATCATGTAATATATTTACTTAAAAACATTTTTCTATATCTAATCCAAAGTTGTTAAAGTAGCGTGTGAACTTTACTTTTTTTCCAATTATTTTTTTTAGTGTGCTACTTTTTTTGATAGTAGCAAAGTAGCAAAAATATAATGAAGGTAACTAAACGTGAAAATTTAAATTTAAATATAATTTATAATCTTTATGATTTATTTAATTTTAAAATTTATATTTTCAATTTGTATTATAAACCTAAATCATAAGGTGTAAATTATCTAAAATTTCATCGTAAATGAATTCGAAATCGATGAGTGAGTCAGATAATGATAATATTAATGAAGTGGTAGGTACCATAGAAGAAAATGCTCTTGATAACAATAGAAAATATATCCTTAAATAAATATATAGCTATAACCTCGAAAAACATTTAAATTTAAATATAATTTATAATCTTTATGATTTATTTAATTTTAAAATTTATATTTTCAATTTGTATTATAAACCTAAATCATAAGGTGTAAATTATCTAAAATTTCATCGTAAATGAATTCGAAATCGATGAGTGAGTCAGATAATGATAATATTAATGAAGTGGTAGGTACCATAGAAGAAAATGCTCTTGATAACAATAGAAAATATATCCTTAAATAAATATATAGCTATAACCTCGAAAAACATCTAAATGTAATTGTCATTTTTAAATCTAAATAGTAATTTTATTTTATAAGAATGTTCATGTCAACAGTGTAAGAGATAGAAAAATATCTTATTAATGTTGGCATAGGGGAGACTACATCCAAAAAGACCAATTGATTTCTAATTAAATTGATTAATAATATTGCACATGTCAATATTTCTCATAAATTGGCTGATAAAGTCATTTTCGATTTTATAATTGATACATTACAGCTAATGTCATTAATTGATGATCCATCATTTATCATGTTAATTAAAACTATCCTCTGGTGCAAAAATTTTTGTCACATACACTAATGATTATAATAGCAGACAAAGATGCCTTAGTTAGAACCACAAAAACGACTTCAATTGATAATTTTTTTGAAATAAAGATACTAATATAATAGAAAAACCTCTAGACGCGTTTTTTTAATCTAAGAATACTCAAATGAGAATTTTTGATAATTTTTATATCAAAAATATGTATATAAAATTATATACTGCCTTGTCCTCATTGCTAATGTTCAGAGATTATTTAGTAAGGCAAAACTTATACTTTCTGATGTTGCTCTAGACTTGGGGATGATAGTATAAAAATGATTTTATTATTAAAATGCAAAAATATAAATAATGAATATTACCTTAAATATTTATTTTTATTACATAAATTATAGTCTTTTTAAATAAATTTTTTTATAATAACTAACATTTTTAAATATTTATAAATGTTGATTTTTATGTATTATATACTATGCAATTTTACAATATAATCAAAAAATAAAACAAATTTATTTCTAATTTTTTTTATAAAAATTAGACTAAAAAGTAGTCAAGCTACTTTTAATAAATAGTAGCTAATATGGCGCTATTTTTTTTGATGGGTAAAGATGCGGTATGCTACTTTTTTTTACAAATAGTAATAGGCTACTTTTAAAAGTAAGGTTTAGCAACTATAGTCTAATCTCATCGCTGGAATGGTAACTCAATGAAATTCAAAAATAATAATAGATAAAAGAAAATGTACGACGAGTCTTTAAAAGATACCTTTTAAATATATCTACATAGCCTAAAAAGGTATCTAGATACAGGTATAATACATGGATTAAAAATAATAGGATATAGATAATTTTTTTCAAGATATATCTTTGGTCTAGAATTGAAGTGCTCCACTCGAAATTTTCAAAATTTTTGAGTTAGAAGTGGATAATAACTTATTTATTCCCAATATATATAAAAATAAAAACTAGATTAAAAAATATTAATTTTTGCCAAAGTTATTGTAAAAATTGATCAATAACTTTTCCCTATATTTTATTTTAAACCTTAATGTTGATTTTCTCATTTAACATTCAAAATTTTTGAGTTAGAGGCGGATAATAACTTATTTATTTCCGTTATATATAAAAATAAAAACTAGATTAAAAAAATATTAATTTTTTCCAAAGTTATTGTCAAAATGGATCAATAACTTTTATCTATATTTTATTTTAAACTTTAACGTTGATTTTCAGCACTCGAATTCTAGACCGACGATATATGTTGTATTCCAATTTATTGTGGGGGTACGCTATTGCTCTAAAAAAATAGTAAGGGCTACGCTAAAATGGGCAATAAATAGAGGCGAATTCTTGTTTTTCCAGGAAGGCAAATTTTTTTTAAAAAATAGCTTATCTTGAAGCATTTCATATTTTTTTTTTCTTTTAAGCTTTCACCTTTTCTGGTGGTAAGCTCCTTCACTTATCTATTATAATATTAATCTTACTATCTATTTTTATCTTTGTATTTCTGATCGATTTCATTTGTATCGATCACCGGTGTATCACGAGGCCAAAGTATCTTGATCTCCCCCACCGGGGCATCAAATCAATATCGACCAGATATCCCACCTGAGTATTCCTCACACTGAATTATCAAATCGACAGATAACCCAATCCTGATCTCTCCCACTGGTATCAATATCGATGGATATCCCTCCGGAGTATCGTTATCAAGTCCATTGTAACTTGGTAGACAGACTTGAGCTTGAACGGCCCCCGAGGTACCATCATCCCATCATCCTAGCGCTGGCCAAGAAATCGTTATCATCTGACCCACGAGTTCAGCTGGCCTTCTTTTTTGGTTTTATTGGACAAGTATCCTAGCACCCGGCTGTCCATCTTATAAAACACATATATTTATATCATATCAAATGCCATTTAGAAAGTTATATAAAATTGAAATATATATTATATAAATGGGAATAGATCAAAAAAGGTGAAAATAAACTACAATATTCTCCATAACAAATTTTTTTCAATATTTAATATTAGCTGCACGCTTCCTTGATTGATTATCGTTTGCAGGCCTGTAACTTTAACACATTTTAATATATGTCGAAGAATTCCATTGACTGAGAGAAGGCCTATTAATGTTTATCATCTTTAACTTGAAATATGGACTTGCAAGCAAATCCGTCATAATTATATTCCTAAGATGAAAGCCACACTCACATTCAGCAGTATTACAAAGAATTGTATTAAATTTTGCACCTGTTTCAAATCATCATCAATATACTCTCATCCCATTTATTGGGCGATCCACATCGAGCTTCAGTCGGAAACAAAGTCATTTAATTTTCTCTTCCCAACGAATGTAAGGGTTTGCTGCCCAGTTATCTTAATATTTCATATCAGATAAATTAGCTGAAAATATAAAACTTCATAATATAATATAGAGAATTATCGGAATTAGCATCCATTAACCTATTTTCCATATTGTCTATTAAGAGTGATGAATTGATTTTGTTGATACCAGAGTGCCTTCTGTTTTCTTTTAGCTTCTTGAGATATTTTCATATGTTTTCCTTTAGAAATCGTCGTTCGATATTAGATTATTCTATCTTTTTATAATTTTACAGGAAAAATTTTAAAAAATTAAGTTTCATTTATTTTCATTATGATGGTTAACCTTATATTAGCTATAATTTAATTTATTTTATAAATATTTGGTTTTTATGTAAATAGATTACTATAATTATAAAAAACGTATTTATATAAAAAAAATCATTTTTGACAAAAAGTGAAAACCTAATTCTCAGGCAATATAATTAAATAAACCTTCATTTAGAAATTATAAAAGAGATTTAGAAACTAGTGATCTGTATTGGGCCTATTTTCAAGCTCGGCCAGGCCACGAATTTTTTTTTAAAAAATTGTCCGACCCGGCCTTATCCCGAACGAATTTTTTTATTTGTCCCGAAAAGTCTGACTCGAAATAAAAATTATTTGTCCGCTCGAACCCGACCCAAATTATTTAAATATAGAAAAATTAATATTTTTTATATACAAATAAAAAGGCGCCTTGTATCTTCCAAGAATTTTAAAATATATCATTTTATTTGACAAAATGTAACGATATCATATTTAAGAATTTTAGCCACCCGATCCAAATTTTTTTAAAAAATATTAGACCTGACCCAGCCCAACCCGTAATTATTTTTGGCCGGGCCATGATTTGCAAGTCTCTATTACCAGATATATCCTTAAACGATTTTAAAACATGAATCGTTCGCTTTATTGATTTTTCAGTATTAGGTAAACTGATTGTACTTCCCTGAAGCCTTAAAGGCAGATTGGATAATTAAAATAAAACATCATACATCAAGGCATTCACCATTCCTATCCCGGTTAACAGCCTTTTAAATTTTGCACGGTTGCTAGAATTTGCTGAATTTTTGAAATGTTTATACAGGGCCTCATAGTTTTTGCAAAATGCCTTAATAGTACGAACTGCTAGCTACCCATCGTACATCAAATACCATTCCAATCTTCACCAATTTAATGCCCAATTCAAATGTAATTTGATCTAATCTCTTTTGATTTTTGTTAGACTAACTATAAAAACTATATTGTGTCAATAAAGGCTTTAAGGTAGTTAGCGCTTGTAATACTTCCATATGTCATCGCTACATTTTATTGTAAAAAATTTTCAGAAAACCCAGCGGATTTAAGAAGATCCAATAAGGTATGAACCATCATCTCTGTATCCTTCGATTCTAGTTGACTTTGGTCAACAAATTTGAAAATATTATCATCATAAGGACACCAATGCCGATTTTACATAAATAACCAAGGTGGGTTTTTTGACAACGTAGAAGATCTACCAGGATAGTAATTTTCGATTGTTATTTATTACAATTTTTATTTGCATTTCCTTGGCAATAAATTATGAACAAAGCAGAAAAGTTGGAATGCAAAATATGTCCCATATCGAAACCTCTGTGCTTTCTAACACAACTCTGTATATTAACTCTCTGCATAAGATTTAACTTAACCTATTAACCTGGATATATTTTTTTAAAGATATTTTAGACTTTATCTAAATTTTTGAGAACAATTTTTTATTTCATAATTTTTGTTTTTGGGCTCATTTGCACAGTTTTTATTAAAATACGTCGATAACAACTTATCCAAAAAATTGGAACCTACCAAGACTCACCCGACTGCGGTAGAGATTGAAATGGATTTGAGCGATTTGGATGAAGGGATAAAGGATAAACCTCCGAGATCTTACAAAATCAAGCACAGTTCCTATAAGGTGAAAAATCGTTTGCAATGATTAAGTCAAAAATAAATTCATTATGATTACCCAAAGAGCGTTAGTATATTATCTAAACTCACTTTTTAAATCACAATTTAGAAAATATAAAATTTTTCATATGAAATATTTAAATACTATAAATCCAATCAATTGTTTATTTATTATTTCTAGCTTGAAGTCAATAGTGCGGACGAGTTTTCCGCTTTTGAAAAATTGATCAAAGAAAAAGACGATTTACAATTCCTGCTAGAACGCAGCGAGAAGGAAAGGAAAGAACTACAAACGTTATATAATGAGGTTAATTAAATTTGAGTTAGATACCCATGGATTGGATTGATATTAGGAAACTGTGGCAAAATTATTCTTGAGATTTATTTGACTTGAAATTATAATTTTGAGGGTCTTCCCCATTATTTTTTGGATCTAAATGGGCAATCGCTGTAATTTAGGAATTTTAAAGAATGAAATCAACAATAAATCGAATGTCATATATAATTTATGGTCAAATTGAGGTAGGGGAAAAATCTTATAATTAAAAAAGTCCTTCGGCTGATAATTGGAAATTTGGTTTAAGAAAATTGGCTACGGAAAATAGCTCCCAGAAAAATTGGCCGCCAAATTTTTTTAACTCTTCTTTAATATCAGAAATTAAAATATGGAAATCAATAAAAATAAATTAATAATTTTTATAAAATTCAATTCGGTTAATTCTAGGCAAAAAATGCCTTCCATTTTGAATAAAACTCTTTTTCTTGGATTAATACCAGGGCCCGTATTTTCCGATGGTTGATCACTGATCTGATGTTCCCTTCTGATACGAGAGACCGTCCCCATATCTTGATTTATTTGTTGCAATAACTCTAGATACTGAAATAGTCCCTCTATTATTTGTACACCATTTTTTGTTTTCTAAACATTTTAATATGAATCTAACGGGCTTTTTAAATCAGGAGATTTCGTATTTTTGAATAATATTGGCACTATGTGATTGAGCATTGCCTTGCTCATCTTATTAGCACCAAAGCATAATCCTGGCATTGAGATGTTAGTTCATACAAATGAAAAATAATAATTCTTTCCATTATAGTTGAAAAACAGAAGTTTTTTATGGTAGAATCGGGTTGGATGTATGTATATTTTAGGACTAGATGATTTTACACGTTTGTTTTGTCTGTTTTTAGGTTCCGTAATGAAAAACTTCTGTCTGCTTCTTTCTGAAATTCACTCTTCTCACATCATGTTGATGGTATTGTGAATACAAACTTTGAAATTGCTGCAGGCTTTTCCTTATTAAATCTTCCATATGTGCTGATGTTTTAAACATTTGTCAGATTTTAGACCATTCTTCCTCTTAATTCTTTTGCACGCTATTTTATGTAATGCTAGCACGTCTTGCAATTATTCTTTGAGATTCATAGGTATCGGGTTTATCTTATTGACGAATGTTCTTCCTCTTAAACAACATTCGCTTATGTCTTAGCCTGAATTTTCCACAAGGTTGGCATGTTTATTTAATGGGATTATTAAAATATAAATTTAAATGCTATTAATGCTTATCTCTCATCACATCTACAAAGGTTAAAGATGGCTCTAACTCCAAGCAAAAACTCGAGATGGAACTGCAGGTGTCGAATTTAATAAAAGTGGCCGAACTCTTAAGCGAAGATCGGAATGCTTTGAATGGAAAGTTGAAGAATGCACAAGAAGAATCTCAGGAACTTAAGTCACAATTGGAGAGTGAACACGAAAATTTACACAATTTACAGTTTTAATTTTATTTTATAAATTTCTTCCATATATGGTATCAAAATGCATTATTAGGTTTAGCTTTAAATACCTGCAAAAAATTGGTTAGTAGAATTTTCCATATTATTTAATTCATTAAGTATATATTTATATTTTTCCATATTTTTTATTAATAAATAATTTCTAAATACTAAACTCTAATATAATTTATTGTTTATCAAAGAGAATTTCTCCAATATTATTTCGCATAAATTAATTAACTATCTAAATTTAAAAGGAATTTGATGGCGCAAACTGATTCTCAATCTCACGAGATTAGAACTAAGAGCGTTTCAGTAGTCGAATTGCACAAAGCTCACAAAATCATTAAAGAATTGGACCAAAAATTTGAATTAAGCCAACTTCGATTCCAAGAACTTCAAGCTGAAAAATCTTCACTCACAGAAGATTTAGTGGAAAAAGTTTTAATTTCTAATATCAAAATTATTTATTTTTTATACTTTTTTATGTTATCTCGATTCAGGTTTTTTAACGGTTTTCGAAATATTTAAACTCCTCGAATTATTTGGAATTGAGTAAAACAATAAATATTCACTCTCTTCTAAATGAACTGATACCCTTTTTTGTTTTTGCAATAAATACATCAATTCTAAAAATAATTCAATAAAATTTCTTAAATTGAGTTTTCTACAAATTTCATCAAATTCTATCAACAAGGTGTAAAGTTAGGCACATTCAAAGTTGGACAACAAAATTCGAACTTTCCAACATGACATTACTTTAGTGCTTTCTTATATTCGATTATAATATTTATTTTTATAGCTGTAAAATACATTCAATATATTTTTTACTTTTCGATACTTATATACCTATAAATTATTGTGACCAAGCACTTTTCATTACTTTTAGTTAAATTAATATAAGTATATCTTAACCCTCGCATGCTAAGTTATTTGACACCTGGATCGATAAAGATGTGCTTTATGCAACCAAAACTTGATACCCTGAAACCATGACTGATTTAAAAAAATTTGAATGGGTATGAAAGCTATCAACTGGCTGTAACTTGTTTTTTTCTCATTGGAACTGCATCATACACCCTATTATTTTGCATATTCACCAGTAGAGTTATTGTAAACAGCTTTTCATCCATGAATCACATAAAATGAACTAACCTCTGAGGGTATTCTCGTAGAAGTTGTTTGATACATACCAGACGGACAATCTTATTCACATCGGTTAGGTTTTGGGCTTGTTTCTTTTAAACATTTCAGCTGCAGCTCTGTGTGGATGATCCAATGTACTGAAGTTTGCAAAATACCAGTTTCTCGGGATACTTGACTAATTGTTCTGTGGGTGACAGGTCGGTTTTATTGACTCAATACGAGTGTTTCAGCATAATCAATATTTTTCATAGTGCTGTGCATCGTCTACCACTACCATACTTGTTATATTTTATGTTATAAAGGTTATAATACGATTTTTTGAATATTTGTAATTTTATAGTTATCATATATAATTATAATCATATTCACATTTAATGGATATAATGATGATCTCCTGAATTTGGCGTTAACTAGTTCTAGAGAAAATTCTTCCATTAAGTGTCCTAGTTTTTCACAAATATTTTCTTGCCAGTTTGGAAGGATTCTTTTCAATCCTCTTTCCTTTTCAAAAATATAAAACATCTATATTATTCGGATAACATTTACTTACTTAGAAGAACACAACATTCTAGTTCAAATTTATTCCACGAATCATAAACTTGCTGAATGTTTACAAGCAAAATTTGTTAGATTTTGTTCTTTATCTCCCTTGTTTTCTAAAAGCTTGATATGTTTTGAAAGATATTTAAATAGAATATACAAATTTTTTAAACTATATTTTAAAATCATAAATATACCTTAAGCAATTACCATATTTTATTATGTCATCTTAAATATTACTAAATATATAAGTAACGAAGACTCTAAAAAGAGCTTAATTTAATAATGAATATGTACTTAAAAACAAGTATCTAGAAGAATTTATCTTTGTTAAAAAAATACATAAAACACATCCCATCTAGTGTTAATTACCAGATTATTGACCATCTTACTAAATTATTTGATATTAATAAAGATTTGTCAAATTAAATCATTGGTAATATCTTCATATTCCCTTTCATGCCTCTCAATCCCAACAGATAACAAATCCATCTCACTACCTAACCTAATAAAAGACAGACTCAAAAATTTGGGAAATTTAACACTTTTAGAATACATTAAAAATCCCAATAATTCTAACGAAAGTTTCAGTAATACCTGCAACAAAATATCAAAAAAATAAATAAACAAAAATTAATCTCTTCACAAACAAGAGATCCTTGACAACCTAGAATCCCTTCATCCACGTGCCTCTTATACTAGCTTACTAAACCAACACTCAATATCCCCCCTTACATAATTACAAACCAAGATATTCGCGAAACTATAAATGAATTTAATAAATTTTCAGTAGCAAGCCCGGATGGCTATGCTATAGACCGACTTACTTCCAAACATTTCTAAAATCTCATAATTCCGATAATTTTTTTTAACTCACTTACCATTATTAATATAACTACTAAAGATATTCCCACATTAGCTCATCAAATTATATTTGGAGCTAACTTGATTGCTTTTGAAAAACCTAATGGAGGCATCCGCCCAATCGCAATCGGTTCATTTTTCAGACGCCTGATAGCTAAGATTATCGCAAAAAAATAAAATCCTATACTCATTCCCTGCTTGGCAAATACCAATTAAGATGCGGAATTAAAGGAGGCGTAGATATAGCCTCTCACTGCCGAATATACCTTCAACATCCACCGATAAACTCCGTTTTATTCAAAATCAATTTTAAGAATGCCTTCAATATAATTTCACGTTTCTCGGGACTCAAATCTTTTTACGATAATTTCCCCCAATACTCGCGCTTCGTAGACAACTGCTATAACAATAGCACTTCCTTCATTTTTAATGGTAGCGTTATATATTCCGAAGAGGGAGTACAACAGGGCGACCCCCTCGGCCCTATACCTAAAACGAATTATTTGTTATTCGATATTCGATTCGTATTTTACGAATACGAATAACACAATTATAAACTGTTAATCCCATCACACCAAGAATGACGGGCAAGCCTGATATTTCTCTTTCATTTGATGATGGAGAAATCATAAATTTGACTTTTTGCCTAAAGTTTTTACCACTTTATTTGTAAAATATTGCTAATGTGAGTTTTTCGTACTTATTTAAGTTGCATAGCCTTTTGACAATTTATTATTTCCCCACATTAAAAAGAATATTACTTTGACTTATATATTATTTTAGTTTATGTTAATAACAACAAAGTAGTGTTTGTGATTAAAGATCATCATTGAATCTCAGTAGGAATTTCTTATTGCCCAAATCAAATAATCAAACTTTCATTATTCTACTATGAATCAAAATTCACAAAAATTTATATTATCTTTATAAAATTATATTCTTGATTCTTTTCCCAATATAATTAAATTTTATGAACAGTGTTTGGAATTAAAACCTATAAATCCAAATCATTTTTGTAAAAAATATTTTATAAGTAAATCTATATAAAATTTAATATAAGTACATGTAATAGTATTTTTAAACTTAAAACTTTATTTTTCATTTATATCCAAATTCACTAAAATATATATTATAATTTTGTGATAAATTCTTTATAAGCTATCATCTCATCTACATTTTTGGATAATTTATCAATTGTATGAGCAGTTTGTAAAAAATTATAAGAAAATTCTGATATGATGATTTTGACATATATATATTACTGACTAACTTATTGATTGCCATATTGGGTTGGCTGGCTATGCTATAAATATTATAATAATATTTAATTTATTAAATAGATATTCAACGTATTGGTATAATAAATATTTCTGAATCAGAAAGCATTGGAGAACAAAGCCAATATTCATCATTCACCTCAAATTCTATACTGTCAGGCTCGGGAGGACGGAAAAATGCAGATATTTGGAAACATTATATTTACCAAGCATCAAAAAAAACTGCAAGATGTAAGATTTGTCGGGTTGAAATTAAGTGTAAAAAAAACTACTTCAGCTTTGATTAATCATTACAAACGATTCCATCAAAAAGCTTTTAATAATAAATTTATTGAATCATATTTTTATAATGATATAAATAAAAATCATATGCACAACAATAATGATATCAAACACCATTTATTAAAATTTTTGATCAAATCTAATATCCCATTTAAAATTCTTGCAACAAATGAATTTAAAGGTTTTGTTAAAGCATTAAATCCTAGCATTAAAATATGTTCAATTCCTACATTAAAACAATACATTAATGAATCTTTTGATAATGAATTCCAAAAAATTAAATTGATAATAAACAAATCTAATACACAAATAAATTTTACAATAGATATTTGGTCAAGTCCAACAAATGTCCCATTCTTGGGATTAACCTGCCATTACATTGATGATGAATGGGTACTAAAATCTATATTATTAGACATTGTTCCTTTTACAAATTCCCATTCTGGGGAAAACATATATAAGACATTTTATAGAATCATTAACAATTATAGCATAGATATAAAGTCAACGGCTGTTACATGCGACAATGCCGCATCAAACACTACCTTTATAAATACCCTTAAAATTAAAAATCCAAGATCAAAAATTGCACATATTCGCTGTTTTGCACATGTTTTAAATCTTGTTGTTCAAGAAATAATAATACAAATTGATGAGCAATTAATAAAATTAAGAGGCACTATATAAAGCATTCGAAATTCTTATAAGAAAACTACTATGATGAAAGAATTTTGTAATTCACGAATTCCATCTATTACATATTTGTAGTGTTGTAAACGAACACGTTCAAAATGAACGCGTTCGTGAACGAAGTTCGTTTTTTTGAAAAAAGGTGATGAACGGCGTTCCTTTTTTTTGACGAACTTTGAACGTGAACGCGTTCCTTTTCTTTGATGAACGCGTTCAATTTTACGTTCGTTCAATTTTACGTTCGTTCAATTTTAAAAACACTTTTTATTTTTATTTATTTGAAAAATTAATATTAATCCGCATTTTTTAACAAAAAAGCCTTATATTTTTATTTATTTGAAAAATTAATATTTAATCCAATTTTTTAACAAAAAAGTCTTATATTTTTTAATCAGCTGTTTTTACTTTTTCCTTTTTCATATTGCAATTAACGTACCATAGTGCTACTGCTAGAGAAGATAAGATTAAAGTTTATTAATTTGAATATTTTATATTTTAATTTAATAGATTAGCATTTGCATGGATATAAATATTTCATCATCAGATTCTGAAAATCAAAATTCAATATTAGATGAATTAGAATTACCATGGCCCAAATATCAAAAATATTTCACTGTTTTAAAATCAATTCCGAGATATCCTTTTTTTTGACGAGGAAGAAGAGGGCAGATTGGAGGATGATAACATAGCTCAATTTTTTGAAACAATGGATAAAACATTAAATGTTTTTAATAAATTCCCCCTTTTAAAAGAATTGTTTATCAAGTATAACACAGCAATCCCTTCATCTGCCCTTGTTGAGCGAGTTTTTAGTATAGCTAACGCTGTAATAACTGACAAGCGTTCATGCCTATCAGATGAAAATTAAAAGCAATTATTATTAAAAATTAATAATAAAAATTTTTTATAAATTTATTTTTTTATCGCTCTATTATATTGTATTTATAATTATATTATCAAAATAAAACTATTATTTTTTATCATGGCTAATTTGTGTTGAAAAATATAAGGCATTTATTTATATTAAATTAAATTTAAAAAAAAATTTATCATAAAATTTTGAACGTATGAACGCGTTCATGAACTTGAACGCGTTCCTTTTTTTGAATTTGAACGTGAACGCGTTCGATTTTTGTCAATGAACGTTGAACGCGAACGCGTTCGATTTTTTTAAAAATGTTTACAGCACTACATATTTGAAGTTAAAATTAGATACACCTATCAGATGGGACAGCTCATATTCTATGATAGAACGAGCAATACAAATGAGAAAAGCTATAGATCATGTCGTTATTAATAGTTATGATATATCTATTATTCAAGAGAAACAACTTAGTGAAGTATTTATTTATATTTAAATCTAATTTTTATTTTTTAATATAGGATCGGACCGCCTTAGAAAGAATACATTTAAACTTAAAAACATTTTATGATTTTACTGTTGCCATATCAGGAGAAACATATCCTACACTTAATCTGGTCATCCCCTTTTATATATCGTTAATTGAGCACCTAAGTCTCTTTGATAATACGCTTATAAGCGCAATTAATGCGCAACAAAAAATAGTATATTATAATTTAACAGATTTCCAAACAATTATATCTGCAATATTAGATCCAAGACTTAAACTGGAATGTTTTGAGTGCCTACCTATATCTTATAATATAAACGTTACAACTATATTTAATAATTTTGAGAAAATGTTTGATGAATATAAAATTAAATATGATGTATCAAAAAGTAAACCTTTAATACAATCAAATATGGATGTCATTTTTAAACAGAATGTTATACCAATTTCTGAAATTGACACATATTTGAAAGAAGTGAGAATAACGTCAAATAAAACCCCACTAGAATGGTGGACTACATGGAGACCGTTTTCCCGTGTTATCTAAAATGGCGAGGGACATATTGTCGATACAGGGATCTTCAACCCCATGTGAGCGACTCTTTTCTGTTGGAGCTCATATGTTTACAAAATACAGAATGTCGTTAAAGGAGGAAACAATCCGAAAAACTTTATGTTTGAAAAATTGGCTGTTGTCAGATTTATCTTCTACATTATAGATATGAATATTATATTGATTTTTCCACATTGTATATAAATATATTATATATGTATGCTTCTAATTTGTCTCACTAATAAAATTTGTTTGTCTTTATCCTTAGTTAAATTTTACAAAATAAATTTTATAATAGATCTTTTTTAATTCATGGTATATAAAATTTTCGAATCGAATCGAATAATCATTTTATTATTCATACGAATACGAATAATAAATTATTCGATTTAAACGAATACGAATAATAAATTATTCGATTTAAACGAATACGAATAATAAATTATTCGATTTAAACGAATACGAATAATTCCATTATTCGATTCGTATTTTTGTAGGTATACTCGGCCTTATTCTTTTCTGCTTAGCTATGCACAATATGATGAAAGATCTTAAATTTGATTTTGACCTAGACCTTAACCTATGATACCTTGATGATGGCACCCTTTGCTGTAATCCACATCAAATTAACAAAGCCCTTAACCACATCGAAAGAGAATACTCTAAAATAGGTTTAGAATTAAACAAATCTAAAACAGAAATATGCTTCCTCAACCCGGAGATTCCCTTAGATTTATTTAAAGATTACATTATTATCGAAAAAGAAGATATCCAACTCTTGGGTTCCCCTTACTTAATAATAATATATCTGAAAAAATTATCGATTAAACTTTTTCTGAGATGCAAAACTTGGAAAAGTTTATCAACCACATTCCATCGCACCAGCTTTTTTACTTATTAAAAAAGTGTTTATATATACCTAAAATCTCGCATCTCTTCCACTCATCCTCCTCATTCACCTCCTCAAAATTTTTCATGCAACACAATATTTGCTTAAAGACCTTTATAGAAAGGATTCTCAACCTTTCATTATCAGACTTTAATAGGCACCTAGCCCAATCGCTAAACTAGCAAGTATCGACTTGATCCCCTTAGAACTACTTTCCCTATCTCTATTTATCTCAAATTGCCTATCGCTCAATTCAGCGATCTCATCATCATAAGCCAATGATGATCTTCTAACAGCATCAATTGTAAAATGGAATCTACTTACGCCAGACGGTTTTACATTTTTAATCGAAATTTCTAACAAATCTATCATCGAACCCCTAATAAAGAAATTACAAAATAGTCTTAACTCTACCGATATTAGCGATATACAACTATTACAATTCAACGATAACCTTCCAAGCCAAACCTTTGATAATCTCTTAACCAATGACCAACTGAGAGTTACTATAGGATTTAGACTTGGATGCTCGCTTACAGAGTCACACACTTACCACCAATGCAACTTACCCGTTCAACCTAACGCCAGACATGGCCTAAACTGCATCCGCAGCCGGGGTCGCCATCTCCGGCATAAAGCAATTAATAAAATCATTCATAACGCTTTTAATAAGGCTAAAATACCCAACATCCTTGAACTAACCAACCTCTCATTACAGGACGGTCTCAGACCCCATGGTTTAACCTGCACCCCCTGGTCCAATGGGAAATCCCTTATTTGGGGCGCAACCTGCTTCTCCTCCTTACCTTCATCAATAAATTCAAACGCTCTTACTTATGGGGAAAATAAAAAATTTAATAAATATTTAAAATTATATAACATTATATTTCAGCCAATAGTCATATCAATTAACGACAATTTTCTCAGTCTACATTTTTTTAAAAAAAATTTTATCACGAAAAATTTAAACATAACATGAAAATCCGAATCCTTATTTAAACATAAACTTCAACTAGAAATTTTTAAACACAATTATACTTGTTTTTTAAGTGACATGTTATTCATTATTAAATAAAGTTCTTTTTAGAGCCTTCGTTACTTATAATATATATATTTATTTTTATTTAGTAATTTTATATATTTTTATATTCTTGTCTTAATATTTTAGTGTTTTATCATTTTTTAAAATAAATAAAAAGTATCATTTGAGAAAAAAAAATCTTAAATATAATAGTGTATTTTCATAACGTCTTATTTTATGAATTATAGAAAATATCAAATTTACGTTATCATTTGTAAATTGTATGATTTCAAATTTATTTTTAGATGAAATAAAAAGCTGTATAAGAAATACAAATTATTTTAGTATTACATTTTTAAAAAATATTTTTGCACTGATTTATTCGAGTGACATTATTTATCTAAGTATTTCATTGTGATCAAAAAAGCTGGCGGCTAACCGGCATACAGGTTTATTTAAACCATTTTTTTAATATAAAAATTAATTTTTTTTTTAGAAATTAAAATATATTTAATCACCTATTTTCAGAAAATTCGGTCTAGACAAACAATTTTCGTTTTTCCTTCTAGTTGAGTTTGCTTAGCGAACCCCTACTAATTTATTTGATATATCTAAAATTTTCTATAAAACATTTTTTTTCTCCTATCTATTGAAAAAAGGAAAGAACTCTTGTTTCGTTACATTCCACGATGAAAAAATTGGAAAGTCGAATTGATTCGGCCATTCGACTCAACGAAACGCGGACCGAAGAATTACGCAAAATGACGGAACTCCAACGTGTCACCTCGGTCAATGGCGAGAGAGATCGTAGAGCCTTCCTCGAGGAGAATAAAATTCTTAGGGCAGACATTCATAGCCTCACAATCGAGCACAAGGTTTTATCCTAGCTTTTGCTCATAACTAATTTTTTAGAACCATGACAATAATTATTTATATTACTTAAAGAAAACAATTTTTTTAAATGCTTAGTAATTATAAAAATTACATATGTTTTATATATATAATTTAAGTTTAAAAAGATAGATAGGGAAGCAAAAGCAAAACAAGAATTGCTTTTATATAAACTAAAATTAATGATTTAATATTATGTTTTTAATGCAGGCAATTAAATTATTAATTTTAAAATAATATTTACCTCATCCATCGGCCTTGATAAAATACTATTGAAGATAAGACTAATATAACATTTATTGATTGATCGTTTAAATTTAAATTGGTGCAACAAAATTATGGTTATACTCCTCTAATAATGAAAAGATATTATTTTCTTTCGTAAGTCTTCATTGAAATATCTCGTCATCCATGATGGAGTTTATAATACTCTCTTTTATGTTCTCGTCAAATAATATTCGTATTTTAAAATAAATTACTTGATTCAGAAGATATCAAATTAAAAATATTCGAATATTAGTAGGGGCACTAGTTATGAGCTATAAAGCCATGATGTGGTCTGTCTTTTTAGGGCAATGACTAGTGGTTAAAGTCAATTGCATAAATGACACATAATCATATATGAGTGCCATGGACCTATCCAAGTCCGATGTCTCGGGTCGGCTGGATACGGGCAAATATTTTCTCGAGCTAAATTTTAAATTATTTTGTTTTTCTTATCTTTTAATGCATATTATTTTTAGAAATATCCAAAAATTAGTTAAATTTTCTTTCGAGGCTTATAATTTTTCCGATTTCGTTGAAATAAAATTTTTCTACTGTCCAAATACATTAAAAATAATATTTATGTTTATTTTAACTCTAGAAATTAAGTGAAGAGCTCGATACCACCAGCAAAGAAAATAGGGAACTCAAAGAGAGATGTGATTTTATGGAAACACAAATTAAATCGCTCGAGGAAATTTTGATGGCTAAAGTTTCTTTATATTGTGAACGATTTTTATCATAAAATTTTACTATTGCTTGTTTATTGAAAAATTTATACTGTATAATCGTAACTTTAGAAATTGAAATTAGCTATATTTAAGACTAGTGAAATCGTGATTATGTATCAAAATATTTGAAGATTCTAGGATCATAAAATATTAATGAATTCTATCTATTTATAGTAATTAAAAAAAATAGTCATCTGATTTTTAATTTTTTTAATATTTGTTTTAAAAAATGATCCACGAAAAGCTTTAAAAACACCTCTTATCTTCATTTATAAACAATGTAGATAAATTTAGGGCTAGAAATGACAGTAGAATTTAGATTAAAAAAAAGATTTCATGGCACGTAAATACCAAGAGTTTAAGTGATTTTTAAGTTAATTTTATGATAAAAAAAGAAAATGTTTGAAAACATTAATCAAATATATTTGTTATATTTCATATATCAATTTATCAAGGAACAAGAAAAATGTGGGTTTATCGAACAATGCAAAGGATTAGAAAAACAAATAGGCATTTTGATTACTCAAAGGAAAAATTCGGAAAACGAACTCACTAATTTGAGGTAAAACTTTTTTAAAAAATATTAATATCTAAATTGTAATCTAATCCAAGTGTTCATTAATTTTATACATCCCAAAAGCTTAGGAGAAAGTCCGATCAAAAAAGGAAAAGGTTCAATCAAAAAAGGAAAAGTGTCAAACAAAAAAGGAAAAGGTCCAATCAAAAAAGAAAAATTCCCAAAAGGAAAGGAAATGTGTCAATCAAAAAAGGAAAATCGTTATTTTTTAAATATTTTTTTAAAAAAAATTATATTTTTTATTTCTAATTTTATGCTATTTCCTTAAGTCATTTTTGAACTTTATTTTTCTCATTTTTGATAATTCATTTTTGTCTTTTAAAAAAAATTTATAAATTTTCCTTATTTTTCTTCATCCATAACAAATTTTGACTTTTTTTAATTTTTCTCCTTAATCTTTTATATATTTCTAACTTTTTCAATCTCCTGAGGTTATTTTTAATCTCTATATTTCTTATCCCTACCAATTTTTTTTATTTTCTCATTTTTGACCATTCATTTTTGTAATTATTTATAATTTTCACTTAATTTTTATTTCTCATTGGCAAAATAATTTTTTTTATTAGAATTTTTTGCATATCAAATTATTTAATTAAAATTGCTGAATTAAATGAATTGCTTAGTATAATATACCTTATAAAAATTAAATAAGTTTTAACTATAACACCTAATATGTAAATTAATAAATATTATCATATTTAAATTCTTAGTTTTAAAATTTTAATATTTATGCAAGAAGCATTCGATACTTTTGAGCAAGTAAATAATTTTTTGTATTATTTTTAATACTGAAGGAATAATAAAAAAATTAAAAATACAATAAATTGAATGGGAATTTTCCTTTTTTGATTGACACTTTACCTTTTTTGAATTGGAAACCCTGTATATCGCTTAATAAATAATTTGTTACTAAAGATATTTTTAAATGATTTAATTTTTAATTAATCACCATTTCTATGAGGTCGCCTTTTCCTAAAAATCACTAAATCCTCAAAACATCATTCCCCTAAAAAATATCTTAAAAATATAACATTACTTTTACGGTATGCTTGAATATTTCAATTTTAGCATTATATATATATCGATCGAATGTTAGTAAACCGAATATATTTATTTATAAGCGTAATAACCTTGCTTTTAGTTCTTTGATTCTTGAGACTGCTTAAATTGTTAAAATTTATAGTTTTTAATGTTATAATTGTAATTAACATTGGAAATCAGCAAAATCCAGTTCGAACGGGTTTTGGGTCAGGCCTAATATTTTAAAAAGAATTTGAATATGGTCAGGCCTTGGAATTTTTTTAAAATTTATCTAAATTTATTAATTTATGTTGAATTTTTAATTAGACCCAAATATGACATGTATCTTTTATTTTGGGTATAATAATTTTTAAAAAATTTAAATTATAATTTAAAAAAAAAATTTCTATATATAAAATAAATTCGGGCCAGGTCGTCAAAACTTTTTTAAATAAATTTGGGTTTGGGCAAGGCCGATAAAACATATTTTAAAAAATCTCGTTCAGGGCTTGAAAAATTAGGCCCGATGCAGCTCACTAATTCACATTAAGTAAGTACATAGAAATAATAAATTATTATTATATTTGTTAAAATTCTTAAATACACTGGAAATTCATTTAAAAAAATTTTTTATATCTAAATGATTTCGATTGGAATTTATTATATCAAATAAATAATTTACGACCTTCATGTAAAATATAATTAAATTGAGCAGGATTTCCAGGTAAATTTTTTATGTTGGGACTACTATGCGAATCTAGAAAAATAATTCCTCTGTCTCAGAAAATGATTCCCCAGAAAAAAATTTCCTGTTTTTTGTAGATCCTTAAAAATATTATTTTTTTAAAAAAAACTAATAAAATAGGAGAAAAAATTCCATATAAATATATCCACGCAATAAAATTTTCTAAATAAAATATTTAAAAATTTTGGAAAAATCAACAAAATAAAAAAAATTTCTGGAAAATATATTCCTCAAAAAGATTTCCCAAATAAAAAGTAGTTAAAATATCTAGTAATCGAAACCATTTTTAAATAAAGATTTTAGCCAAAATAATCAGAGACCTGCCCGGGGCCATATTTAAAATTTTTAAAGGGCCGGGCCTGAAAAATTCTTTTCTAAAAAATCTGGGCCGAACATGAATTATTATATTCGTCAATTAGATATGGTTATAATGATTATATATAGTTAGGATTAATATAATGTTGGGTGAAAGTTAACCCTAGCTAATACTCATAGTATCTATTACATAATATAATTATAGTTTTCCTGCCAGGATAATAGGTAATAAATACATTATTGTATAATATATGTTATATTTTTTATTAATTAAAATATCAGTTTTATTTTTTTATAAATACAATTAATATAATATATTCTCAAAATATTATTTACACAAATGTTTTATAGTATCAGTTTGTAACACAAATGTTTTATAGTATCAATTTGTAATATACTAAATATCTGTTTAGAATAAAATAAAATAAAATATTAGTGTTGTTAAACGGGTTTTGAGCCGATTTTTAAAAACGGCTAAATCAGTATTTTATCCAGAAAAATATTACGCAAGCCTGAAAATTTTGTTCATAGAAGGAGCAAAGGTCTAGACATATAGTATCGAAATTTCGAGGTTTAGTCAATATTTTTCTGGCGAAAATATTGAGTTAGCCGTTTTTAAAAATCTGCAACATTAGCTAATATGCTTGCTTATTAAATGATAATACTCTCCGAAAAATATGATAAAATACCGAATAGGTAAAATTTTGTATATACCAGATCGAATATAATTTTAAAAAATTCCGAGCCGGGCCTAAAAAATTTTTTAAAAAATAATCCAGGCAGCGCTGGGCCCAAAAAATTTTTTTGAAAAATATCCGGGCCTGTTCTGGCCGGGCCTAAAATTTTAAAACCCGGGCCGGGCCGTTCAAATGGTACTTCTGCAGGTCTCAGAAAATTATAATACGTGTAAAGTTATCTCCTTATCTCGAACCCACTTTTGGGAAATTTAAGCCAAAAAATTATTATAAAATAAACGAATGCTTATCTATATACTCTTAATCTAATACTGCTAGTTACAGTTTACGCGATATAACATTTAATTGTAATGATCCTGCCCAGATTTTTCATTTTTAAAAATTTTTAAGATCAGCCGGATTTTTAAAATCATAGCATTTTTTAGCCCTGACCGGCAGGTCTCTGCTTTATAAATCTGAAATTTATTTTTTAAATTTACCCCTCGAAGTTTCGAGGTTTCAAGTAATTAAAAGAAGAAATATATTTTTTTCGTCATTAAACATTTCTTCCAACTTTTAGATCTTATGGGTATAGATCTGCAAAAGTAGGCCCGGCCCGAACGGGCTTCGGGTTGGGACGGGCCTTAATATTTTTAAAGAAAATTCGGGCCGCGTCGGGCCTTAAAATTATTTTAAAATATATAAACTTATCAATTTTATGTTGAATTTTTTATGTAAAATAAAAATATGTAACTTTATTTATAGAAAATAGACGCCATATAATAGAGATCTGCAAGGTAGGTCCGGCCGCCGGGGTCGGGCCTAATTATATTTAAAATAATCGGGTTCGGGCTGGGCTGGGCCTAATATTTTTTTTAAAAAATCGGGCCGGGACGTTTCGGATCTTGGAAATTTTTTTAAATACATCTAAATTTATCAATTTTATATTGAATTTTTTATGTAAAATAAAAATTTTTGATTTTATTTATTGAAACTAAACGCCATATAACATATGTCTTTTATTTTTGAGTAATAAAAATTAATTTCTATATTTAAATAAATTCGGGCTCGGCCGGTTAATTTTTTTAAAAAAATTTTGGGTTCGGGCTGGGCCGGCAAAACCATTTAAAAAATAAATTCGAACCCGGCTTGAAAAATTAGGCCTGATACAGATAACTACTTATGGGAAAGAATTTTAAAGGTTTATCATGCATGACTTGAAGAAATTTTATAAAAAATACCTCAATTCAATTTTACAATTTTTAGAACCTAGTTTTTTTTAAATTATGAAATTAATTATCATTTCCAAGAAATTTTTTTAAATATCCAATTGGGAGATTTAAATGGGGATTTTCTCAATTGCCTTCAAAAATATTTTTTTTTTCAATTACCTGAAAAGTTATAAGGATTCATTCAACATAAATTTACTCCTCATATTTTCGATTCCCTTTTATAAAATAGTTATCACTATAATTTTTTATTTGAGCATTGTAAGAATAATCTATTGTAATGTTTCATTTTCATCGTAGCTAATCTTAATTTGATGTTAGTTTTTCTTTTAAAATATCAAAAATTTATTTGAATACTTTTTATACTGTCGCTGCTAAATTATAAAGTATCAAAGCTACCACCATATTTATGAGTATTTTAAAATTAACTTATTTAATCGCTCAGAATTAGAACTGAAAAACTCCTTCAACGTTGAGAATACTCAAAGCTCAGAAAAAAATCGAATGTCCTTAATTATTTCTTTAATGCTCAGATATATATATATATATATATGAAAGAATAAAATAATTTTCTATTGATTTTAAGAAAATAGTAATTAGCAATCATCGCGCTATTGCTTTCGCCCATTTTCCCTATATTAACATCGCAATAATTAATTTGTTATGATTTGCAAAATAGTTTTCGGTGTATTTTATTCGTGATTTGGTTTCGCCTTCTCTATAAAATTTCCGTTATTATATATTGGCGATAAAAGTTTTGCTGTTATTTATTATATCTAAAATTATGATATTTTTTAATCTAAATTAATAATTTCTAAAAATATTAGTAGTTTGAATAAAATTGCTATTTATATTTAAATAATCGATTTTTTTTTTTGGGGGGGGGGGGTTTAAGTCATTTTTTTTGTTAAGCTAACTGTGAAAGCACTTGATCATTGAACTGCTTCTACATTTCATTGATAGTTATCAGTTAATCTTATAGAACAACATTCTGCTTATCAATTTTGGTTTTACTCATCATTTTTATCCTTTTCAGGCTTGAATTGGTATACAAGGACCGCGAATTGGAACAACACTTGTTAATTTCTGAGGCGGGAAAATCTGAATCCGCCGAAGCTATGACGTCACACGCGACGGCTGAGTCCATGACATCGCACGCATGCGCTCTTGAAAAAGCGGCGAATGAGCGGAGCCAAGAGGTACAACGCCTCAAGCTGGACTGTCGCCGCCTTGAGACTATTTGTCATGAGTCGCGGGTTGCTCAATTCTCACTTCAAGCCGAGCTCGATAAGAAAATCTCCGATGCCCTACAAGTTTTATACATAATTAATTCTTCATTTTAAGCTAATTAATTAGTTGATTTTTAACTTTATTATTAGGACAAATAAATTTTGTAAGTGATTTTTTTTTAATTGAGGCTCTAATCAGAATTTCGCGGTATATCTATTTTAAATAATAATTTATACAATTGCATTCCTAGAGGTAAAAATTTCCCGTTTAGAAGAGTCACTATCAAAAGAAAGAAAGGCTCCAAAAAAATCGTCATAAATCATGTGAGATATATATGATTGCCTTGTTTGTTGTAATTATAATAAATTAATTTATTAAATATTGGGAAATGTTGAATTTTAACAGGGAATACTTCGTGGCCTAATTCCCATTCAATACATTGCCTCTCTTCACCCAATTATCCTTCGTTTTCCTCCACATGTCCAAACTACCTCAATCAATTTCTTTTAACCGCTTAATTTTTGCATGCTACTTCAAACTTCCATTTTCGCCACTACACTTTTTTTTGACCCATTAGCATTGCCGATAACAGATGAAATGATTGAGTTTCTAGTGATATCTTTGTCACATATATTGCACTATATTTTTTTATCACTTTATCTTTCCTATATTTACAGTAAACCCTTCACATCTATATTTATCTTAATCTTAAATTTCTATTTAATTTTCCAATTAAGAATATCGGCATACATTCAATCATATCTCCATTATTATGATAAACCTAAACGAGTTCAAGGCGTTATTAGTGCAGATCCAATGTAATTTCAAAATTTTTACTATCCCTATCAAAAGGTCTGACTATCGTTCGTGCCTCATCCTACATCTCTAAAATGGCAGTCAGCAACCATTTATCTGCTTCTGCTAATCTCAAAGCTTACTTTGTGATCTTGCATGGTACTATGTCAGATACCTTCTCCAGGATACCTATCAATACGAATTATAGCTTATTTTCCTCTCTTGATACTTTCACTAAATCACCACGAGGTGTGAAACCCAACTGCATATAATCTATTTTTGAACCTAATTATTTTTTCTAACTCCGAAAACCTTCATTTATTGATTGTTACTATATTCCTAATCGCTTTGTATTCCCCAAATTTTAACTATTTACCTTTTCGGAATTAACCAATACTATAAATATAAATAATGATGCCTTAGCTGACCAAAACGGTGGAAGATTTTAAACGCGACTTTCGTCTGCTTCGTGTAGAGGTAGAGAGTAGACGTCAATCTGTCAAGACGTTGGAAGAAGTCATCACATGCTCAAGGAAGCGGGAGACTAATTTACTCAATCAAATACGTAAATTGGAACTCAAGACCAAGCAATTGAAGGACGCCAACGAATCCCTAACTAGACGAACGACTCAGACTATCGACCTCACTGGGTAAAGGCTATAATATATTAAAACACAATTTCAATTGAGCAAAAAAATGATGTATGAATTAGACGAGCTAATTTTGTATTGAATATAGGGCATAAAAAAAGTAGCGCGCGCCACTACAACTACCTTCTCAAAAATCATAAATACTATTAATAGCGCTAACGATACCTTTGACCCTTAAGAGCGTTCGTTTTAAAAAAATATTCATGGGGTATATACAGACCGAAATTTTATGTTATTTCAGTCATTTTTTCATGATATTAACGAAATTATTTTTTAAAAAATAACCTATCTAATATAATAATTATTTTAAAACACGAATTATTGACCCTGGAATATTTTACATGCGTAAATCCAACGAAGTTCATTGAATCAATTCCCTGAATTGCCATTTGTGCATATAGCATAACACTTTGTTAAAGAAATTAAAATTTTTAATATAGATAGTAAAGATATAGGAACAAACTTAATTGAACATATCGAAAGATTTTCAGATATGTCCTAAACTGACAAATTAGAGACGAGTGCAACAAGGTAATTTGTGCTCCACACCTTGCTAATTATTACATTATAATCAATAAATAAAATAATTTTTATTTATATTTTTTTTATAAAATATGATATTATATGATTATTATGATAAAAATCTTGTTTTCTTATAAAGTTATCATCATAGTCATCATTTCTTTGAAGATAAGTATTAAAGTAATTCACTCCAAATCTAATTAAATATCCCAGGGTTAATAACAAAAATTATTTTCCATATTAAAAATTATTTTAACCTAAAGTAAATAATAATTATTTTTATCATTAATGATAAAACAAAACGACTTCTAGCCCAAAATGTTGTTTATATTGAAATAATTGGATTTTAAATTTAAGATTGATCAAAATTGATTAAATATCCTTGTTATCTCAAAATATTTATCAGGTAAGTTAAATTTTGCCTACATTATTGTTGAGTTCTGGACCAGCTTGCGGGCATCACGAACAGTGGGGGAGGGAAGGTGATGGTCCTTGGAAGAAACCGACATATTTTACTTAAATTACAACTAAATTTTAGTTACAACATCCTACCATTAACCTTAAACATATTAACCACATATTAAATAATTGGACGGCTTTCACTGCACCTTTGTAGAAGAGGGGATTTAGGTCGAAGTTAATTTAAAATAGTGTTTACAACACACCACGTAAAATAATTATAAGAGTTTACGGTATAAAATTATCTAATCGGTATTGCGTATTTAAAATTATATAGGTTGCACATTAAAAGAATTAATGATAACGAAATAAAAATTAATGATAACGTTCAATTTTTTTGCCCATTTATAAAATATAACAAAGCGATGAATGTATAAACATTATTGTATGGGATATTTTTATTTCATGATGTATAATCCAGGACGTAACCTAGATGGGGATGCCATAATATGTGAAATAAAAATTAATAATATTATTTGCTCATGTGGGTATTTTCTCACAATTTTATACAAAGGATGGGAAAAATATTAACAAAATATTTTAATGCTGTTTATGACAGCTCTCAGGGGGGGGGGGAATACTTTACTTAATAGAACTATTATCAATACTAACCATAAAAAAACTTGAAATAATATATTTTAAAAAAAGTTTTAGAACTATCAAAAGCAAATAAGGAAAATATAACAATTATGTTTTACAAAAATTATTAAGCAGCTTAAAAATCCAGACCGTTTTATTTACAGAATTTAATGTAATAACCTATTTATAAAATAAGGTTTGTACGGACCCACGAATACTTTTTAGGGTTAAATAACATCGCTGATTTAATAGCCAATAAATAAAATTGATATAGTTTTTACATTTAATTCCTCACTATTTTTAATTAAATTCATTTTTTCCATTTGGCTGCTTTTCAGGTCTAGGCGGGTAAACCAGTTTTTCCTCTTATCCCTTTTCTCCATTTTTTACGGGCCTTGTCATATCTAATTGTGAAATCCATTTTTATCATTTCATCCGTTATCACTTTTATTCAGGTAGTCTTGGGTCTTCCACTAGTCCTTGACCCCCTCCCCCTTGTTTGTTTCACTCTGTATCTTCTTTATCCAATCGTCTTTCGTTCATCATGCCCCAATCAACTCAGTCTATTTCTTCTCTAACCACTCCACTATTCGAAAACTTTCTCACAACATCTTGCTTGTTTTTTTCGGACATATCCCATGCACAAACCATTGTTATCTTCGTTCTTTTCAATTTAGCTTCGTATGCCACTTTCATTGTCCATGTTTCACCAACATAGGCTATAAAATTACGTAAACGTTTCCATTCAACTTTATAGAAACGTTTTATTTGTTAGAATAAACATTTTTCGAAACTTTCTTGCCAGAGAAAATAAATATACATTTCATTTGTCTTGCCAATCATTTTTCCACCATTACCTTTCAATTTGGTCTCTTGTATACAACACACCTCTACTCTTAGGACAGTTTCTTTAACAAATTGTTACCCCCCCCCCCCACGTCGAGTTGATATACTATTTTTTTTAAAATTGTAATATCACCGAGTATCCCCATTTAAACACCTTTTTAGTTCAATAAAAAGCCTTTGGTAAGGTAGTATACTTTATAAATAACACCTTAATATTAGGATAATCTTCATTTTGAATAATTACCACACTCTTCATAATTTTGCTAGATAAAATAGAATAGTATTCTAATGCTTATTTCCAATGCAAGCGATATCAAATGATTTAACAATACATTATTGATTTTTAATAATAATATATATTTATACTTAATATAGAAAATTTAAGAAAGCTAAATTGATTATTTTAACTCTCGAAAAGAGTAGCAGCGTGGCTTGAAAGGAATAGTAGCGTTACAAATTTATCTATTTTTATAGAAAAGTAGCTTTAGCTATTTGTACATAAAAATGGATTTAACTATTTTTATAGAAAAGTAAAGTAGCTTTACCTACACTACTTTAATTTGAATTCATTAAATCATAAAATACACGAGAATCAATTTTATATGATCATATATTTAAATCAATCTGGACTCTACCCTTTACTAAGTCCCCTTTCGACCGAAACATGCACCCACCGAGAATATTCTCGCGATAACAATCACGATAAAAGTTCTCGAAGAGCCCAGAACGCATCTTCCGTCACACCATCCGCTCCGCCTATTATAGTCCACGATGAAAACACTGACTATAGAATGCGATATTTAGAAGATCCGTCTCGCGATACCGACAACGTGTTTGAAAGTAACGATTCCGACCCCAAAAAACGCCACAAACAAGGCCAGCTTGCAAATGGCAAATTTAACGCTAAAGGGCGCGATGTAGGGAAAACTGGCTACAGCTCATCTTCTCCCTTTTCATCTCCCCCGTCATTTTGAGAACGTGATAGCAGAGAAAATAGTTGACTAAATAATATTAAAAGCTGAAAGGCTTTAAAGAGATGATTGACTATATTGTTATCTATATTATTTACATGATAAAATTAAATTTTTCATAAATTATATTAATGTAAGGGTGAATATTATATAATTTGCCTGTTGTTACTTACAAATTTATAATGGTGTTATTATTCGTTTATATTATTATTAAGTTGTTGTATACTCTATTAATTATAAAGTTTAATATTCCATTTACATATAAGCTTAAATAAATAAACATTTTCAAACTTAAAGTATAATTCTTTTGATGAAACCTAGATATTTTTATAAACTGTTAATGGAATTTTTCATCAATTTTTTTCTTTATTTAATATTTCGGTAAGTTATTGTTATCTTTATCAATAATTTAATTAAAAAATTAAAACAAATTATAAATTCAAAAATACCACTTTTAAAAAGGTAAAAAATATATTAATGATGAAAACATATGTGTAAATGACTAATTTTACCCTAGCATAATTAATTAATGCGAATAAAATAAGAGCGGCAAACCTCTAGGTTGTTGTATTATATCCTTCATTTGGGTCACCATTTCCAAGCAGGGATGTGAACCCGGACCCTGAACCCTCGTATTTAGTCTGTACCCGGACCCTTTTTAAAAGTGGAGGGTTCTAGGAGTCTTAAAATTTTTTTAAAAAATAATATAAAAATATTCGCAAGGTCTATAAGTCGAAAGGCTAAAAAATAATATTGAAAATAAAAAATAACAAAGGAAATGATTAATGAGAATTTTGATTGATTTATTGCTTTCTTTACGAGAAAAATATTATATTAACATTAATGATCTGCATCGAGCCTAATTTTTCAAGCCCGGCCAGGCCCGAAATTATTTTTATAATGTTTTGCCCGGCCCGGCTCGAATTTATTTAAATATAGAAATTAATACTTATAATTACTCAAAATAAACGATATATGTTATATGGCGTCTATTTTCTATAAATAAAATCAGTTTTTATTTTACATAAAAAATTCAAAATAAAATTGATAAATTTAAGATATATTTTAAAAAAATTTTAAGGGCCGACCCGAATTTTCTTAAAAAATATTAGGCCCGGCCTACTTTTGCAGATCTCTAATTAACATTACATTATAATATATTAAAAAATTGGAAATTTTAAGATCTTTTCAATTTTTTTATTAATTCTTTGTAATAATTTGCGGTTATATTAATTTTAAATTAAATTTCTGATTAAATAAATATTTCCTTATGATTTTATATTAATACAATTTTAAAAAAATGGAATTTATGAATTTTTAAGTTTTTTTTTCAAAACTAAATTGATAATGATATAAAAATACTTAAAATTAGTTTAAAATGTTAGCCTTTTTTTCTGAATGTTTTCCAGACAAAAAAAATATTTTTCATACCGGAAACGTAAAAAAAAATATATCTAAGCATTTTTGGATAGAGGATTTAATTTTGAGTTCAGTGATATAAAAATACTTAAAATTACGTTTAAAATGTTAGCATTTTCCCTTTGAATGTTTTCGCGACAAAAAAAATATTTTTCAAAATAAATTTACCATTTAATTTATATTTGATAATTACTTCACCCCCCCCCCCCCCCATGCCTTCCAGTACTTATAATATCTTTTTACTTATTATGAATTTAGTTTTTAAAAAAATTAAAAATTCCATTTTTTAAAAATTGTAATCATAACGAAATATAATTTAATCAAAAATTTAATTTCAAAATTAATATTATTAAATTTAATTTAAACCGCAAATTATTTCAAAGAATTAATAAAAAAATTGAAAAGATCTTGAAATTTCCAATTTTTTAATATATTATAATGTATGTTATTATAATATTTTTCTCAAGAAAGCAATAAATCAATCAAAATTCTCATTAAACATTTTCTTTGTTATTTTTTATTTTCAATATTATTTTTTATTTTCGTATCATGCAGCCTTTCGACTTATAGACCTACCCAAATAACTCTTATTGCAAATGCAATATTTGTTAAAAATTATAATATAAATTTTATGACTAAGAATTTATTATAATTAAGTTTTACATATAAAAATTTTATGACACTTTTTGATTTTCAATGGTTTATCAGTTGGACTGATTTGTACCGTTTTCAGTTCGATTTGTACAAACCGTTTTTGAGATATTTAAAGAACAAAATGGGGGGCCAACTTCACGACAGCTCCCCAACTTTTGAACTTAAAAATAAAAAGTGCATAGGTCGAAATTTATTATCGATGTTATTAGATCTCTCACTAAGAATTCTTATTATAGTGGTATCTAAATAAAAGAAAAAATAAAATATATTTAAATAAATTAGGATAAATATATATATAATATAAAAAGAAAACGAATTAATGAACTTGACGATTTTATTTTGATAATGAATAAAATATAAAATTTAGAAAAAATTATAATAAAAAATTTAATTATTCGAATGGTAAAAAATTAGAGTTTTTATACTCATAAATTAAATTATTTACAGTTATCGCTATTCAAAAATATATTTAAACGACTAAAAAAAACTAAATATTCAAATCTATTTTCAATTTGCTTTTTTCTGTTTATCATAAATATAATCTACCGTTAAACATGAAAATTACCCAAAATAAAATTTGAATATATCGACAAATATTATAATATAATTAAACGTACTTATAATAAGAAAAATTTGAATATATCGATAAGTACTATAATATAATTAAACTAACTCATAACAAGAAATATTTGCATAAATAAAATAATATTGTCTAACTATCTACATAATCACGACAAGCTTAAATTAATCTATCTCTACTACCAACTATCGATATTTTGTGAATATAAAGAATTTATTTTTTAGATAATAAATTCAATTAAAACCTCCATTATTTACAATGAATTAATTATTATGGCATTATGAGCTTGCTAAAATATCTAAACCTTATTACATTACAAAGGATAGCAGAAAGTTTTATTTGGAAAACAATGTGTATGATTGTTTGCAATATATAGATTTGGTCGATAAATTGTATTATAATAATTCTATAATAAAAGTATTAATTTTTACAGCAATAAATTTTGTCCTATTTGATCTCAAAATTTAATAGATAACCGCCAAAAAAATTTATCATACCCCCATTAAAGCAGCCTACCCCCTCAAAAGAATAGGATGCAAACTGTTCCTACCCCTCCCGCTCATGTGGACGCTGGGGGGGGGGCTAACTTCACGCTATAATATAAGGTTTAAAATTTGATTTCCGAAATAAATAATGAAGATATTAATTTGAGGCATCATTAGGAAGAAAAAAAGATTCTCTATCGTTGTACGTTAAAAAAATTTAAAAAAAAATAAATTTTGAGTGTTTTTATTTTTGGCGCCATATCTTTAACGGTCAATAGCTGGGAAACGGTAATAGTACAAATAGAGTTTGAATCGGTACAAATCAATCCCGTTTTAAAAATTTGAAAAATCTCAAATTTTGAATATCGGGGGGGGGGGGACTAACTTCACGCTATAATATAAGGTTTAAAATTTGATTTCCGAAATAAATAATGAAGATAAAGCTTAATTTGAGGCATCATTAGGAAGAGGAAAAAATTCTCTACCGTAGTACATTAAAAAAAATTTTTAAAAAATAAATTTTGAGTGTTTTTTATTTTTGGCGCCATATCTTTAACGGTCAATAGCTGGAAAACGGTAATAGTACAAATCGAGTTTGAAATGGTACAAATCGGGTACAAATCAATCCCGTTTTAAAAATTTGAAAAATTTCAAATTTTGAATATCGGGGGGGAGGGCTAACTTCACGCTGTAATATAAGGTTTAAAATTTGATTTCCGAAATAAATAATGAAGATATTAATTTGAGGCATCATTAGGAAGAAAAAAAGATTCTCTATCGTTGTACGTTAAAAAATTTTTTAAAAAAATAAATTTTGAGTATTTTTATTTTTGGCGCCATATCTTTAACGGTCAATAGCTGGGAAACGGTAATAGTACAAATAGAGTTTGAAACGGTACAAATCAATCCCGTTTTAAAAATTTTAAAAATCCAAATTTTGAATATCGGGGGTGGGGGGCTTACTTCACGCTATAATATAAGGTTTAAAATTTGATTTCCGAAATAAATAATGAAAATAAAGCTTAATTTGAGGCATCATTAGGAAGAGAAAAAAATTCTCTATCGTTGTACGTTAAAAAATTTAAATAAAAATAAATTTGGAGTGTTTTTTATTTTAGGCGCTATATTTTTAACGGTCAATAGCTGGAAAACGGTGATGGTATAAATCGAACTGAAAACGGTACAAATCATTCTCTATCGACCTATGCACTTTTTATTTCTAAGTTCAAAAGTTGGGGGGGGGGGGGGCTGTCGTGAAGTTGGCCCCCCATTTTGTTCTTTAAATATCTCAAAAACGGTGATGGTACAAATCGAACTGAAAACAGTACAAATCGGTACAAATCATACCAACTGATAAACCATTGAAAATCAAAAATTGTGCGGCCAACTTCACGGACCTCTAAGAACATATTAAAATCATATTGCAATTTTTTGATATGAATTAAGAGAGATCACTTTTCTCTGAGATTTGGCTAATTATCTAAAATCTAATTTTTATTTAGAATATTTTCCTTATAAATTTAAAAGTGCTAGTCCATTAAACGGTTTTTACCGGTGCTATTTCTTAAATAGGTTTTTAACCTTTTCAAAGTTGAAAAAGATCTTTTATTAGTGCAGGTACTAACGGTAAAGTAGCCAAAATAAAGATAACAATGTTTTGTATTAGGCAGGGAATCTAAAGTGAACACACAAAAGGCCTGTTAAACATTTACTTGTCTCAAAGAGTGCTCTATTCTGTCGAGATTTTTATAACAAAATTCGACATCACAAAGTAACTTATCATACTAACTGAGATTTTCTTAATATCCTCTCGTGTTTCAAGTATAATCAACAATTCAAACTCAACCGGAAAAAGAAAATCAAAGCTTGCTCTTTATCTTTACCAAATTAAAGGATTTTTCTTTTAAATTATAAAAAATAAATTAAAACTTTAAAACTAATTTGTTTAACAATAATACTATTAAATTTATAATTGTTTTTCAAAAAATATCTTTCAAGATATGCAGATCATATTTTTTCTCCATCCTCGGCTCTA